AAAACACCTTTGCAATTGTAATCCTGCTATTTAAACATTCTATCATTGTATTAGTATTACAAGTGAACACAAGGACCCTGGTATACATATCCATATCCATACAATTGAGAGTGCGTGTTGATTCTGTGTTTTTTACATAGAACCACCAAGGGAAGCATTGCAGCAGCGTTTACCCCCCACCATCATAGAAGTCAAGGGCCAAGGGATGGATACTAAAAAGTGATTTCTCATTTTCTTTTGACATGCAACACGAGGCAATTGAATAAATTTCAATTATTCATAACTTTGTTTTTATTGTGTAGACGAGCGTGGATTTTCAAATGTGGAGAAATTTACAGGGACAACGGCAAACACGAAGTCAAAACGCAGCAGCAAAAAGAGATTCAAAGTTGCCGCTGCTGATGTTGTTGCTGTTCGTTTACTTTAATTACAAAAAGATTAATTACTCGACTCGAATGGAAAACAAAATAAGGAATATGTCTTCTTGTCCATCACCACATTTCTGTGTCAAATGAATTTTAGTGGGGTTTTTTATATTTGTTTCTGTTTAAAATAATACGAGGGTGGATTATTCATATGACTTTATAATAATGATTCAAGAAAATAAGAACGAAAATGATGCACAAGAAATCGGGATGGAAAAAGGTTATGTTTTACAAAAATATTCCTTATTCGATTTGACTGAAGGCATGTCATCTCAAAAATAATCAGCAATAATTGAGAAGAGGTATTCCTGCATTAGAGTATCCAGTTTTACAATTTGAGGAACTCTTTAAAATGATATTCGACCTGTAGGTGTATGAGTAATCGACCTATAAGTGTATATAAATTGTAATATTAAATTTCGAACCTGGGCAATCTATTTTTAGCCCACCTAATTTGTAAAAAAATAAAAGGACTAATTAAATTACGAAATCTGTTTTATACCATTTTATTGTTCATCCCTTATCAAATCGAATCTTTCTAAATGTTTTCTTTTCTTTTTTTTTTTTTTTGTTCATTTGCATTACCACGTTTTATTTTCTTTCACCAACTAAATCTCACAAAAAAAATACAAATGTCAGATTCTATTAAATAATACAAAAAATCCAACTCCAAAATGACCCTTAAGTATTGTTATCCGAATAAGCTATGTATTCTTCTGTCTGCAAATAAAAACAACAACTTCTTCGGAGAGGGGAGGGTGAAAAGTTAATTTCACCAGAAAAAAAGATACTGGTTTTTTATTCAAGCATTTCATGTTAAATATTAACGTAATTCAAACTGAAAGGTCAAGTGGGAGTGGTATAAGAAACTGGCACAATACGGTAGGAGGGGAAACAGAAAATAATCTTTACATTTGATTTTTTTTATTTTCCGTTTCTTTATTCACCTCCTTCAAGAATTGTATTTGCCATGCGTCTTTTTTGTTGGCCACATTTAAAATGGACCACTCGGTGTGGAGAGTAGCCTCATAAACGGCCAATGGAGGATTGAAATTAAATTCAATATTTTTAATCATACTTCATTCGAACCAAAAATGGGTGAAGAAAGTTAAGAAAATAAGAGAAGGGTCAAGCATTTAACATGGGTGTATTTCAACAAGAAATGGTGAAAAGAAAATGAAGACTATTCACTTTTGACGTATTAACCCAGATAAGGCAAAGCCTTTTTTCTTTAATATCGAATATTTAACTTAAATATTTTAGTGGAAATTTATTCTATTAAACACAAGTAAAATATTAGTAGGTGAACATGATGTTCGAAATTTATAAAAATTAATTTATGTGTTTGTAATTTTCGGCATGACTTTATTGCAAACAAACAAAATTTAATACCAAGAAAAATGATTAACCTTTTTTGTTCCATCGCAAAAACCCAAATGACACGTGCTAGCCAGATAACATCTCTAATCTAAAAAACCTACATTTCAGGAGACGTTAAAAGGATATAAAAACTAATGACAAGCATTTAGACAGGTGAACAAATAAATGTCGGAATGGATGGTTAGACAAATGATTAAAATACGAAATGTTCAGCATTCATAAGCAGGTTAGTATAAATGAATGAATATTAGATGTAGAAGAAATGACCTTAGCCAAAAATACCAGAAATAAAACAATTAAGAAAACTACAACAACCAAGTTCAGTCATTATATACAAGAACAATGTAGCCTAACGTATTTATGGCATTTATAATGTCATTGACATTGGTAAAAATAAGAAGTGAAAACGTTGAGATTTGTATACAGAGAACGAAGTTAAATCGACATCAAATGTTAAATACAGTCCACCATATGTTGTTCGCTACTTCCATTGGAAAATGCGACTAAAATCTTAGAAAGACCAAAAATTGCCAGGTTGTTTAAAGGTTATGCTAAAACAGAGACTAGAGTTGGGTAGTTTCGATACAAACTAGTTCATTGGAAATATTCTTATAAAGGAACGATAGGAAATAGGACCAGTTTTTTAGTTCCTTAAGTTCCCTATCGCGATCTGGTTCCTTTCATTTATCTCATTCCTTTATTATGATATTGTTCATTCGCTCAAGTTCGCTTTTTAGATGATGTCACATTGTTCAAAATATATAAACATATGGGCTTCAATTTATTATTGATTATTTATGAACATAATGTAGATAATCAATTGCTCATCGTCCTGCAGTTGAATTAGAAATCGGAACTATATGGAGGAAACTAGGGTTATTTGGGATACCATTTGTATTTTGTTTTTGCAAAATAGTCAGGCTTAATCCCAGTTTGTTGTTTTTTATAAAAAACAACTATTTATTAGTGGGGAATGTATGGCATTGTCCGCCGAGGGGTAAGGCAGGGAAGACTATAGTTTCGGATCTCGCCACTGATCCTCATCAGTTCCCTTAGTTTTTTGTTGGGATATTCTCCCCAGAAGCTATTAATAGCTTCTTTACAAAAAACCTTTCAAACCCAAATGTCTCTTGTGACAATTCGAAGTTCTTACGTTACCAGCGATACGACCCCAATGAGAAGTTCGTTTCATTGGCGCCTGACTTCGTGGTCAACAAGGCATTTACAAAAAAAGTTGTTTATATACCCACAAATAAACCTGAAAAGTGCTTAAAATTTATTTAATGAACATCTATCCATGTTTAATTTCCTCTCTACAAAAGGGACGTTAGCACAAACAAAAAACTAAGGGAACTGATGAGGATCAGTGGCGAGATCCGAAACTATAGTCTTCCCTGCCTTACCCCTCGGCGGACAATGCCATACATTCCCCACTAATAAATAGTTGTTTTTTATAAAAAACAACAAACTGGGATTAAGCCTGACTATTTTGCAAAAACAAAAAGAAACTATTTTTTTCTAAAAAAGAAACGAGAAAGATCGATCCGCGCCGTGAACTAGATTTCCAACTTTTAAATATTGATTTTAAATATTGATTGATTCGCCGTTCGTTCCACGGGTTAATGGTATAAAGAAATATTAAATGGAAAATTTATATATTAAAAACCTGGTAAAAAAGTGTCAGTCGGTGTTGCCGAAAATTATATATATCCCCAGTCTATGGTTTGCGGCGGTCTTCGAAATTACACACAAATTTTATTATTAGCTTTATATAAGAAACATATTTTTATCAAAGAGGTTTCGGAATCGAATCCTAGTTTATACGAGAGCCAGACATGTACTCTTTCTAACACCGTTGGAATTTTTGGATTCCGATGTTCCAGTGAGGAGTTATCATGCCCGCCATCAAAAATAAGCACTTTTCTTTAATTACAAAAAACAAAAACAAAACAATAAAACATTTTTTTTTTTTTTTTTTGTAAATTATTTTTCTTCTCTTTTAAATCTTCAAATATAACTGCAATGTTACAAACCTTAACAAGCATTGATATTGATTTACGAGAATGGGGGGTTCCCTTAAACGACACTTTCGAAGACAATCTTGAATTTTTTCGTTCTTCGGAATTATTTTTTATACAATTTCGATTCCAACTTCATTTCGAAAATCAAAAATGGTTCCGACACCTTATGAAATATTTTTTAATTCTCTCAATATATACTATACGAACCACCGCTTATTTTTTACAATTAATTGTGAGACTTAAAAATAAATATATTTATTTTTGACCATAAAAGGTTCGTACGACATGAATAAACTTAATTTAGCATCACTTTTTCCGTTAATCCATCGAATTGGGTGTGATAGAATTCCATATTTCACTAATTTTTCCTCCAGTTTTTTGGGATTAATATCTTAACCGGTTTTTTATTATAGCCCATACAGTTTCAATGAGGTTTATAAAGACTCTTCCCCTTACAATTGATTTTATATGTGAAGTTAGTAAAATATTATTTCTATTAATGGTATTTGAAATAATATTTTACTAACATCACAAATTGATAGCCTTTAAAAACTATTTTTTAACCCAACCCAATTATTAAAAAAAATAATAATCCACCCTATTGATGGCATTTGAAAAAAAGTTGTTTATATACCCACAAATTAACCTGAAAAGTGCTTAAAATTTATTTAATGAACATCTATCCACGTTTAATTCTCTCTCCACAAACGAGACGTTAATAAGAAAAATAACAATTTCTTTTTAATTAATATCAATCACATTTAATTTATTTTCGTATTTAAATAAAATTCTAAACATTACACATTATTTACATAACATAATAAATTAAATAGGGAATAACTCATTTTTATGTAAGTATGTTAAAAGTCAACATTGTTTTGTTCGTATTATAAGCCAGCCTCAGATGATGTTCAATTGTTTTTGGTTTTGTTTTTTATACGTTTTTGTAGCATTTTTGTGCTAGTTTTATCATTTTATAATTGTAAATAGAAAATAGAGGTTAAGTATTTTAATTTGTTTTTGGTTTTTTTGTATACATTAAAATCGAGTGCCTTTGTAAGTTCGCATGCCTGCATTGTGGTTGTTGTTCTTGTTATGTATAATTGTGGGCCCATTTCCTTTTCCAGAGTATCCATTTTTTTCTTTTGTGCATTGTTTCCGTTGATGGTGTTGTTGTTCTTTAATGTTTGCCATAATCATCGTTAGCATCAATAAGCGAGCTATTCAATTCCTCAAATAATTCATTTGATTGATGACTTCTTAACAAGGGATTATTGCCATTATTACCAAGATTGTTGTTGTTGCTGTTTCTGTTGCCATTTTGATTGGCGGCCGACAATGGATTTAAAGCCAGGGCGGCAGCAGTTGAACGTAATAGCAGAGGATTCCTCAAAGCATGTTGAAGTTGCAGTAAGCATCTGGAAAAAGTGATTCAATTTAATACTTTATTTTGATTTACAATTTTTGTTTTAAAGATTTTTACCTCTCAAGTCTCCTTTCATTTACATCTTGAATATCAAATATTTCGGGTAATCCCTCATCTTCACGGTGAAACACATTCGTGGCAGTATTTCCAGCACCATTTCTCTTGCCATTGGTCCAACCACGCGAATACTGGAATGTTTGTGCCATACAAGCCATCGAAAAGAAGAACAACAGTACAAGGACACGCAACATGTAGTATTGGAATGTTTGACCCATAAATGCCATTGGTGAGAATATAAAGTTGCAGTATCGGGGTTTGATTACGGGCAAGCTGTGAACAAAATTAAAAAAAAAATTAACTTAATGGAAGTAATGAAGGATAACACGTTTGGTATAAAATTGGAACATGTTTCGTTATTACATTGTTTTAGAAACATGTTGCAGACTTAATGTTTGCCATACGGTAAGGTTCATGTCTTTGAAATTTGGTCATGGGAAATATAGCATAGACATAAATCACGTGTAAGGAAATTGTGCATATAAAATTTCCCACATGCTTAACAAGCAATGGCTCAAACCATAAATGACGTTATACAATCAAAGACACCATCCAACTCCATCGTTATAAACAAACAATTCAAAATAATTTTTTATTTATTTTTTTAGAAATATTTTTAAAGCAAATTCTGACGACGGTTTAAATTTCCTTAGGAATATTTTTCCAAGTAAAATTAAAAGCTGTGGTTTTGTGGAATATTTGGGACTTGGGTGTTGTTTCTTAAATATTTTTAAAACCATATCTGAGCTTTAGCTCGACCTTTGTTTAATATTTTTTTTTCAAGTGAGCAGTAAGCCTGGAATATTAAGATTATTTTTCATGCTACATCTGAGGCTTAAGAGCAGCGTTCTTAAGAAAATTTTTGAAGCTATATCAGAATTGAACACATTTTTAAAGCAATGTCGGAGCCTTATAGTTATTTCCAAGCAATATGTTAGCCCTTACACGTGGATTTTTTAAGAATATTTTTTCAAGCACTGTCGAAACATTATACTCGGATTTTTAAAGGATATTTATACACTCAGCCTTATGGCTAATGAGGGAATATATACTTTGATGCGGCAAAAATGTGTCTCATTGAAATATTGGTTTGGACCCCATGAATCTTTGGACTAAATCCGTTTCAGACAATTTGGAGTCGATTTGCAAAACCCCGTCCGACCATCTGACCGGCTGGTGCGTACAATAACCCTCTAAGGGAGTAACTAATTTCATGCAATCATTGGACATCGTAATATTTTCTCCAAACATAGTTCAAATCAGATGATGGGGATTATCGGTCCACTCCTTTGGTACCTCCCCCGCTAAATGTTCATAATTTTGCTAAAACATAAATTAAACAATATCATGCGAAGTTTGAACCAAACTTTGTACAACCTAATATCAATATTAGGCGAAATGTTTGTCAGATTTGAGCCAAACAAAATCTTTACCAAGTCTAGATCCGAAGGTGGGACCCGTCGCCCCTCTCCTTTTGGTGTTTCTCCCACAATGGGTCAATATTTTATAAACTTGTAAAGTTAATTTAAAGCGAATTGATCAAAATTATAATTACTTAATTCACTCTTCCTTCTTAAAATATATATCACCACTTTAATAAATCCACAATGTGTCTTTCAAAATTCTATATTTCTCGTATCTTAAATATTTGGAGTCTTATTTATGATCACAAAACTGTTCACACTTACATTTAGCGTACTTTGATAACTACGAAGAATACACGACCGTTGTAATGTGATTTGAAATTCAAACTGAATACCAATCTGAAATATGTTCGTGGTTTTATACCGAGATTCTTTGCTGAAACACACACACACAAATAGGATAATTTGCAATTTACTAAAGGCAGAATTTTCCACAGCAATTATTGCCTCAAAGTGAAGAAAAAGTAGTATTAACTAAATACACTGCGAAAACTGTCCCTCCTTAGAAGCATACACAACAGCATTCAAATCCTTTAACATTGCCCCGACTCCATCTCACAGTGTACCAGTACCGCCTTCTTCATTTAATAACACTTGTTTTATTTTGTTTAGTATCGGCCGAAGGATTAAATGTTATTAGCAGGCAATTGTTTTTATTCACTTAACCAAAAACGAAAAATACAACTACTACAACCACAAGAAGTCGATATGGGGATATGTGTAATGTGTGTGAAAAAGTGAAAACAAAAACATCCTTAACAAGAAACATCCCATTCGAGGATGGATATTTTGGTGCCGCACCACTGAATAAATTGAATGCATTTGTTGATTAAAAAATTATCACCTTCACTTCCAGCGAAAAATCTAACCCTTTTCGCAGATACTCATCTACGAGTAACATAAAACTCATTGCCGCTAGGCTATGCTAAAAATACGCAGAATTCCCATTGTCCGTCCAGTTCGTCCTCAGATTAACCACAAAGATGTCTATGCAGAGATTGACTACGAAAGGATTATTGTGAAGGTTAAGAATGATAGATAATTACCCACGTGTTTGATTTTTTATTGTGTTAACACAATGTATGTGTGTACGTACATCTATATAACCATATTGTTAAAACGTTAGCATTACTCCCGAAAAAGAAGCTGTATTGGCATACTTATGACCTCTTTATATTCAACTATGTGGAGTATACATATATTATTGTTTATGGAAAATTATCTTATTATTATTACATCAGAATATAAAGACTGCTATCATAACCCGATCTGTTAAAAATTACAAATTCTGCATTCTATGGCGTATTTATTTACTCCTGAGGGACACATCCAGGAGTTGTAGTTGACCTTTAAATTTATACCAATTTTTTAATTTGAATTGATTACAAATTGTTTTGTATGTATTCGAATATTGCAGTTATACATAAATATTTGCAGGAGTATACCTATTCTAATAACTATATTCTTAAGGATTAAATCCCGATAAGTAAGCATAGCATAATTACAGAAGGTAGTCTCATTTGAGAATTTTATGATGGCACCTTTTTAATTTGGAACTCATCTATCAATTTTAACTAAGATAAAAAATATTAATACATTTTTAGAGGTAGGCAACTTCAAAATATTTATAAATATAAATTAATTGTCAATTTTTGCCACTGAACACATAATATGCGTACATTTCGAAGGAAGATATTTCCATTTAAATTTTGAAAGCTGAATACTGTCAAAGGCAAATTTATGAAAAAATTATAAACATATGACTTCATGAGACTACCTTGTATAATTATGCCATGTAAGTAAGTTTAAACTACGCTATATCCAAGTCTAAATTTTTCCACTTCAACATGAAACTGTGAGCTCTCAAATCCTGATTTGGCACCCGAAAAATTTTCTTTATTCTCGCAAATAAAAATCAAATTGAAGATACATTTCTGCAAAGTTAATTCCGAACTTTGCAATAGTTGCAAAATATTGGGAGATTAACATCACATAAACCATTATTGTCCGTTGGCCACGTCCCTTCTATGTGTACAATTTCGTGATGTTCAACTCATAATTTTAACCTTTGGGGTCATCTAACAAAAGTCAAGGTTATTACCTGGCTATATCACCTTTTCATTTAAAATTTCGTGACATTCGGGTCATTTTTGTAACGTCTAAATTCCCGTAAATTTTTTCAGATAATTACCCAAAACAATATGTGGTATTTGGTAAGAACCTGACCTACATTCATATCGACTCAACTAGTCGATATATATTTTGGACTGCATGGTGGCACTCACACATATAATACATTCTAAAGTTCCAGTCGTTGTTGCAAACGGATATATATATATATATATATATATATCCTCAGACTATGGTTTTGCGGGGGTCTTCAGAATTACACACAGGTTTTATTATTCGCTTTATATAAGGTATATGCGGTTCGGTTTAAATCAAATTTACAAGTTTATAAAATATTGCCACTAAGAGGGGAGGTACCAGAAGGAGTGAATTATTATTATTATTATTTATTTATTCATTTCAAAGCCAAGCCAAAAAGCCTTATATGGCCAGTATACTACAAAATAAACTTAGACCAAATTAAAAATATAAATTTTAAACACTAGTATTTCTTTTCATGTTACATTTGTTCAAGCTCCATAAATATTCATTAAAAGTAATAGAAAAAAAATCATTTGAATAAGAACTACTCTGAATTGATTTACAAAAACATTAAAGTAAAATATTAAGTAATTACAGAAATTTATCTTCAGTATTCAACTACTCAAATTAGTCCCATCTTCGGACTTGATATATGATAAAAGATAAAAGGTTTTGTAAAGCGTCGTTCAATTCGGACATTCCATTCGCCTAATATTGAAATGTAAATATTGAAAATTTTTACCATTTGTGGGGGAGGTAACAGAAGAAGGGCAGCAATCGGACTTGAAAAATAATGTTGTGCAATGTTTGGTCCAAATCGGATATTCCATTAGCCTAATAATGAATTTATAAAAGGTATAATAAATGTTGATGTTTTGTCTAGCATATAAAAGATGAAGTGGACCAATGGGCCCCATCTTCGGATTTGATATAGGCTTGGTAAAAATAGTAGGCTGTGCAAAGATTGGTTCAAATCGGATAGTCTGTTTGCAAGATATTTTAAAATAATTTTTTTGATTGTAAATTTCCACCATTTTGTGGGTGAGGTACCAGCAGGAGTGGACCGATATTCCCCATCTTTGTACTTCAAATTAAGTTTGGTTACTCCCTTCGAGAGTTATCGCGTGCACCAGCCTGCCAGGCAGACGGACGTACATACGTAAATCGACTTCAATTGGTCTAAAACGGTTTTCGTCCAAAGAAACATGGGATCTAAAACCAATATTTCGAAGAGGAACAAGGTGTAGATACCCTCATTAGCAATACGAGTAAGGCTGAGGGTGTATAAAAGAGATTTTATGATTGATTAATTTATAAATATTATAGGGTTATCAAAGTAGGCAATGTACTTGAAGATCCGATGTCTTCAAGTTGAATTTTGTTCAGCGATGTACGAAAGCAACATAAGCAGAGCTGTCACTTCATAAAGAGAAAACCAACGGTTTGTTGTGGTTTGTGATCCAATGTAGCCCTTGTAGCTAAATATCACTCGTGTCTAAATGCTGAATAGATGGAATATCTGATGCGTATCTAGGGCCAACATTTCATAGACACACATTAATTTTTTAGAGCTTATATTTGGTATGCAGCTAATAGATATATATTCTGCAGTTCACATGTCAAGGCGTGATTATGGACGACACATATCAAAAGAAAAAGTCTAAAAAATTCAAATTTTTGGTAATTTTATGAGCTTTTCAATATATAGAGAAGAGTCCAAACATATGTACAGTATTCATTTGCGTGCAGTCCAAATTATTTAAATCGCTTCGTATTCGAATTGTACGAATTCTGCCATCATAATTATTTTTAAATGATTTTTCCGTCAATTTTGCATTTGGTTTTCTTGATATTGGACTTTTATCTTTCAGAAAGAACGATCTGTATCTCCCGAATGCAAGGATTTTGTTCATACCTTATTTAGGATAGTTGCATTAAATTTGTGAACAGAAAATTGTTCTAGGGTTGCGGAAAAAAAATTCGTGACACAAAGGGCTAAAAATTTCTAATATATTGTAAAAACCAAGGCCTATATAAGGTCGGCCAGTAAGCACAGGTGAGTATAAAGTTTGCTGTCAAATCATATTTTGAAATCTATACATACATACAAAATTATGTTAGACAAAACTAAAATATTAATATTTTGCCAAAATTCAATTCAATTTTAATTTATGTCGTCTTTGTGAAGTACATTTGGACTATTTCAAGATTTTAAAGAAAATTTTCAAGTGATTTATCTTAATAAATTATAAATTGTGTTGTGTTTTGATTGTGCTTTTTATTTCAAGGCGAAATAATTACTTTTCGCCTCGGCAAAAAAAATGATGTCAAACTTAAGTTTTCTCTATGAATTCGCTTACTGGCCGACCTTATATAGGCCTTGGTAAAAACGAGGGATTGATAAGTTTGAAAAATTTCATCGGTTTTATATTTTAAATAGTCATAACCGTTATAGAGACAATTTAACTATTTCTTAATATACACTAATCAGCTGTTAGTTCAATTATCGCAGCTTTTAAAGCTTACCATTTACCAGCTACTGCTATTCAAACGTTTTTATTTTGTTTTGACACTCATTCACCAAAAAGTAAATAAATACACAGCAACAAGTTATGTGTTTAGATTGTGGCGAACAAAACAAAATAACAAAAACCGATTGTATGTAACACATGCGCGATACATGTTATAACAAAATTTTCCTTTTGGGGGAAATGCCGATGTGAAAAATGTCAACACACACCAACCAGTCTAACGGAGGAGTTAAATTGAACGAGTCTGCAACTGATAACAAAGGAAACGAAAAATTGTGTTTGTTTTGCTCGCATTACAATTTTGTGTATAACAATTAATGGAAAATTTTAAGAAAATTTATTAAAAAAAAAGTCTAAATTAAAGTTAGTAAACAACTGCAGTTAGCTGTGTGGAAATTGTTTTACAATATAAATTCTATAAATCTAATATGAAAAGTATATAGTATAGTAAAAAAATCTTATAAATTCCATTATTGGTGACTACAACTGTATCCATATGTTTTATTTATTCCATTACAAATAATGTCTAAAACTTGTTCCACGACTGGTAAAAGTCAAGTGCATACATTTTTCATTCACGTGTTTTAATAATTCTTCAAATATATTTAATTAACTATTCCGAATCTTATGATGAATATGGAAAATATGGGTCGTCTACGCAAGGTAAGTATATTCGTAAATGTGTGTATGTGTGTCTCTGTGTGGGTGACTAACATACAAACAAAGCAATATTGTAGTAGTTATTTATGTTGTCGTTTTACGATTTTGCATTCCTGTCGCACAAACTGACCTTCACATTGGCTTTTAACCAATTCCGTTGAATTTGTGGCCAAACAAACACACAAAAAGTGGGTGGGAAATTTTCTGAAAATTGAGTACAACTTCAAGAAATGCATGCTTATTTACATAAAACAACAACAAAGAAAAATGTAACTACCAAGTCAACTATAAATTTATGTCTCTTTGAGCAGTTTAATTTGACGTTTTAATGCAAGTTCAATTTTTTTGCTCAAATTATAAACGAGCAGGTTGTTGATGTAACCCAGCAAACAAAAGTAACATATAAACCACCTTCATGTAAATATTCTTGGGATTGGTTCCACGATAGAAAATATATAATTTAAGGGGTAAAGGTACATTCTTATAGACCACACCACATTATAACAGAGTTGAACCTAGTTTGCTTTAACATGGTTCAGATGTAGATCTCAAATATTTTCTTCCGATTTCAGATAAAGGATGCACAAAGACACCACATTCGCCAAATTGACGCCAAATTTTGCATGAGTTGCATACTAGAATCTAGACAGATTTGTCCTAATTTTTGTTGGAGTATATTGCAATTTCGATAAAGGTCTTATATAGATTTTAGTCCGATTTCATATAAATGATGCAACAAAGACCCACAAGTGGGGAAAATGTGGGGAAAGGAACAATTGTTCTATTTTTGGGCGTGGATTAAAAAAAAACAAGGCTATTTGTAGACGTGTATTTAAAAATAAATACGTTTCAGGACTATTTGTTGACTTGGTTTTTAAAAAAAATATTTCTCCAAGACTATTTATATGCGTAATTTTATTAAAACCATTAAAAAAACTATTTCAACAACTATTTGTAGGCGTGGATTTTTTTAAAAATTATTTTTCGAGGACTATTTGTGGGCCTGGATTAAAAACTAATATTTTGTCAAGGGCTATTTGTAGGCGTGCAATTAAATAAATATTTTTCAAGGACTACTTGTAGGCATGCACTTAAAAACTATCTATCAGAACTGTTAGTAAGCGTGGATTTAAAAAAAATACTTTTCAGGACTATTTGTTGGATTTAAAAAAATATTTCTTCAGGACTCTTTGTTGGATTTAAAAAATATTTCTCCAAGACTGGATTTTCAAAAAATATTTTCCAAGTCATTGTAAAAAACACAGCACATCATCGTAAGTCAAATCGTTCTTAGGGCGGTTAGTTAGCAAATAATTATAATATTTTCAATGCAAATGTCAGATAAGGATATTAGTTCTTAATTTTGGTAATTTTTTTAAATTTGATTTCAGGTCTTCTTGATCAGAAAATTGTGAAACATAGCCTTCTTAGTTTTTACTTAGCCAATTCCTTTCACATACCACGGCTGCAATTTTTTTAATTTCCACCTTTTAAACGCTTTTAGTTCGCTGGGTGCTGCTGTCTCAAAAACTCTCCCACACCCCGATCCACAATTGGCCACCTAGACAGGCAAGCAGTTATTAACTAAAACTGAATTTATATTCACAACACGAGTTGTCCATTGTCAAACAACAACAAACCGACAACTTGAAACTAAAACTAAACGTTTTATTAGTTGTTGTTGTTCCGAACAAGCAATGAGCAGTGGAGTGACCATTGGTGCTGGTCAACCGTTTATGTTTCATTGAGAAGCATTTTAGTAGTTTGCTAAAATTCAACGGTAACGGTACTCATTTCAATTCAATCATCAGACGAAAACAATTTCGGTTGACATCAATAATTTATCATTACACTGATTCTCATTTGAGCAACAAAATATTTATTTTTTAATTTCTTCAACAGCCGGCCACTGCTGGTAGTAATGATACCCAACTGTTACTGAAATCTTCTCCCAACATATTGGAAAATTTTCCCTACGAGGATTTCAAATTGAAATTGGATCGTTCACAACCGAAACGAATGACGTCACCACCAATACGCCATCAACAATCCGCTGGCTCACGTTCAAAGTCACCTCTGTTTTGTGACACTCTGGAACGTCATGCCTTCATGCAAAATGTCATTAACACCAAGTCGAACACACGCAGCAACTATGATGTGCGCTATTCATCGCCCAGCCAAAAGGAGGCCACCGTAAGACGCAGTTTGGAAGAGATTTCCAAAGATATCAAAGAAATCGAAGACTTCCTCACGGTCACGGAACATGTCCTGAAACAGGAGCGCGAATTGGACATCGAAATGGAAATGGAACAGAAAAAGAAATGCAAAGCGAATGGCAATGGTAGTCCCAATAAGGAGAACAAATCTCCCTCGCCAACCGGCGGCAATCGTTCGCGACGTAACTCCAGTAAATCGGTGACCTATAAGATCAATTCATTTCGCAATCGTAAAAAGAAATGTGGATCACCGAGGTTTCTCAATTCACGTTTGTATTTTCGCAATGGCCGTATAGGGTGTTTGGAAGCTGAGAATGCCACCTCCAATGTGGAAAGTACCCATGCATTGGTCAAGCACATTCTAAAGTATGAAAACGAGAAGCCACTGGTGAGTCCGGAAAGTGTGAGCAGGGTATTAAATGGTGGTCCAAGAGATTCACCTCCAAGAAAATTATCAACCATAAGTTCCAATCATGTCCCTCTGCCAGGACAAGTTTCGGAAAATCCCAATGGCCGAGAAGAATCATTTGAAATGCAACCTCTACAGGATGTCATATCAAAGGCAGCTGGAAAAGTTCTGCTCGACCATGGAGACTCAGGAGTTCATAACTCCCCTCAAACAGAAAGTTTTGGTTCTAATAGCCAGCCCTTGGTGGATGAAGATGAACAGGATGTGCAGATTTGTTACGATGAGTTACCGGAGCTGCCCAATGAAGAACAAAATATGGGTGCTCTTATGGACAGTGAACTGGATGTCAATGACTGCGAAGTGCCGGCACATGTGATTATTAATCGTTTATCGAGTGCCGATAGTTTAGATTCGGATGGTCAACAATTTCTGAGGGACCAAGTTCGGCACCTGGTGAGGCGATTCACAGCACGAGCTAATAAAATGAAGACGCGCCTCGAAATGCCACCCACACCCAGCAGCAGTGCTTCTTCGCCATCTCCACCGCCACCACCCATTCAGCCCAAACCGCACATGACTTCTTTGCTTCACAGGGGCCACGAGTCGCCAGCAAAGAAGCATCCAACACCGGCACACACTCCGAATAAAAAACCTCTTTTTGTTGCCGACAATCCCCGTTCCAATGTTTGGCTTTGTTCTAGTCTCTGCAGCACGGATGATCAGAAGACATTAGATCCGCAAGGAACTCTGTACATCTCATGGTTATGTGTGGTCTCAATTTCATTTCTTTATAATGCCTGGGTAATACCGTTGCGGTCCACGTTTCCATTTCAAACGCCGGAAAATACCAACACTTGGCTTATTTTGGATTTTTGTGCTGACATTGTCTATCTGGTGGATGTGGTGTTCTTCAAGCATCGTATTATGTATCTCTTCGAAGGGTTTTGGGTAAAGGATAAAAATCTGACACGCAAGAATTACATGAGGAAACTGCAGTTTAAGGTAGGTGTAGCTACAGGCACCGAATCGAGAGCTGTAATTAATTTTTAATATTATTTTCAGTTGGACTTATTGGCCCTACTACCATTGGAGTTGCTGTACTTCAAATATGGAACAAAAGCTGTTTACTTGAGATTCCCACGTTTCCTCAAGATTCAAAGTTTTTGGGAGTTCTTTAAGCTGCTGGATCGTGTAATTTCTTCGCCACATATTGTAAGTATTTCGTCGATATGGATGTGGATTGTTTGCCTAATATTTTTTATTATATTATTAATTTCTTCCATTATCTTCTGATCTAGGTTCGCATAGCCAAGACACTTTTGTATATGCTGTACATGATACACTTGACGGCAACATTTTATTATGCCTACAGTGTTTATGAAGGTAAGTCCGAAACAAAAACATGCAATTCCATATTATATACAACTAATTCAATTCCCGATTAACAGGTCTTGGAACCAATCGCTGGGTATTCAATGGTAAAGGGCATCCATATGTACGCTGTTTTGCTTTTGCCACAAAAACTGCAACATCCATTGGTAAATTTTTTCAATTCACCTCTGGTGAACCCTTCAACTAATATCTCCTCTCTCTCTAGGTAAAAATCCCAAACCGGAACATGAAGGTGAATATCTTTTCATGACAGCTGCCTGGCTGATGGGTGTTTTCGTTTTCGCCTTGCTTATTGGTCAAATAAGAGATATCATATCGACAGCAACTCGGACCAAAAATGAATATCGCCAGCTGGAAGATGAAACCCTGGAATATTTGAGACGTCTGAATCTACCTCAAGAAGTACAGAAGAGAGTTCAAATGTGGTTTAAATTCACCTGGGATCAGCAACGTACCCTCGATGAATCCAACATTTTGGATTCCCTGCCCATTAATTTGAAAACCGATATAGCCATCTCGGTGCACATACAGACCTTGTCTAAAGTGCAACTTTTTGCCGACTGTGAAGAGGCCCTGCTCCGTGATTTGGTATTGAAACTAAGAGCTGTTACCTTCCTACCCGGTGATTATGTTTGCCGCAAGGGCGAAGTGGGACGCGAGATGTACATTATTAAATTGGGACAGGTGCAGGTGATGGGTGGACCCAACCATGACACAGTCCTCGCTACGCTATACGAAGGTTCAGTATTTGGTGAAATTAGTTTACTGGGTATCAATGGCGCCGATCGCCGAACCGCAGATGTACGATCTAAAGGTTATGCAAATCTATTTGTTCTTTCCAAATCGGATCTCAACGAAGTCATTGCCTATTATCCCAATGCCCAATCGATTCTTAAGAAGAGAGCTCGAGCCCTCATGCGTAAGAATGCGGCACGCGAAAAGGAGGAACGAGCTCGAAGTGCCGAACAAGCCGATGTGGTTATTGGAAATCCAAAAACACCTGAAAATCCTCCGAAACTTTTGCAAACCGTTATACAGGCATTACCCTATGAATCGCCGGCTGTTATGCTCATTACACGTGGCTCGAAGCGTATGCGTAAAAAACGTCACTCCGTCAAAATGGAAACCATTGAAGATCGAGAAGTCGAAGAAATCAATGAAGGACTGAATCATACTAAAGCAAGAGATAGTTTTATGTTACCACGTGATTCAAAATCATATTCACCGGATTTGTTATCTTCAATACAACGCGAGTTGGAGAATAAAAATCAATTTATAAATTTAACGGATTCGGAAAAAGCTTTGATCATTTCAACATCTAGTCATGATTCGGTACGAGTTGAGGATATTGAAGAGTATGGAAAGTGAAATTAAAGTCAAATTAAGAAAGAAAATGGAGAAGATGTATTTTATACATGGATAATATACTGGAGTGACCAATATATTTTGTCCTAATAGTATTTACTACATATTTACATACATATGTTAATTGCCAAAACCACTATTATTCAAAATAAATGTGCTTTTAATGTTTTAAACAAAAAAAAATATTCAATATCAATTGAATGATGAAATGAATTGTGAATAAATTAACGATAATTGCAGTAAATAATAGACAAAGAATAGGGGGATTGATTGATAAAGGATTATTTATTAAATTATTATTATTCTGCTAATTTCCTCAGTTATTCGTTCAACACTTTTTTGGTACATTTGTATCGAAATTATTTGGAAAATACATGTGCGAATTTTGTAATACTAATGGAATGCAAAACAAGTCAGAATCGAGTGAGTGGAAAGTCGGTGGTTGTTAGCAACAGAAAGAGTATTCAAATAAACCGTTGCAAAAATAACAAACTCCAAGCACATCCGAACGATTTTAGTCGCATTTTTCAATCAATCTGCTTTCCAAATTCTTTGAGGATCCCATCATTTTTCAACCACTATGACCACAAGTACACAAAAAAGTTTAATTAATATATTCTTAATTTCATTCCTACTAAATGTTCCCATATTGTACATGTACCTCGCTTAGAATAAAAAAACCATGAGAAAGCCACTATTTTCAAAAAAATTAAAGATTTCATAATTATCACAATTATTTTCCTACTTCGCTCAACTTTACCACTATTTGAGCTCATTTTCCTCTCTCTCTCTCTTAAAGACAAATATATTCCTCCCAAGAAAAAAAACAAACACCACAACCACCAGTTATTGTTCGCCTGTGTTTTGTTTTGGTATCGTTCTCCGATTTCCAAATACTTGGTGGCTGTTATTTTTATAAACGTCTATTTGACTACTGTTTCTGTTGCTAACAACCGCCGATTTTACATTCCATGGCATTCCATTGTTTCTTTATTTCAGACAATCTTACTGACCTCTGCATTGGTGTTACAAAATTCACATATGTATTTTCCAAATTATTACGATATACATGCTAAGTACAATATATGAAACACCTCTGCATTGGTGTTAGAAAATTCGCAAATGTATTTTCCAAATTATTTCGATACAAATGCTTAATACAATATATGAAACATGTGTTGATGCGAACAACAAATCAAACAGAATGTTTAATATTTTTCTAATGGAGAACTGCTTGAACATGTATGTAAATAAGAAAAACGAAGAAGAAAAAATAATATCAAAATATAATAATTAAATTTCTGTGCCATAGAAACTCGCCGCCACCACCACCAAACACACACACACCAAAATTGTTTCTTACTCTCTCTCTCTCTCTTTCTGATAAGAAACCGGTATTTAAAGTTTTATGAATTGCATTCATAAAATGCAGAAATCCCGACATTTTCAACACTTGCTGAACACTATTCATATAATATACGAATTATTCACTTCTCAGTACCTTGAAGATTTACATACTGGGTTCTTTAACCAACCACAATGGCTACAAAAGATGCTACGATTTTGGAGTTATATGTTCTAATCGGGTATTATATGTTCTGATCGGGTTTAATTTGAATTGCGACATTGTTTTTCACGTCTATATGTCTTACCTCTCCTTTTTTAATAAAAATACATAAATTTGTAGGTTTGAAACTAAACTAAAAAGTTTATTTTTATTTGTATGTAGCATTGCATGAGAAAACAAGAATATATACTGCAAATTATTGTATGATTGATATATGTGGGTAAAACAAATAATACAGCAATTATTTTAATTAATAAATTCAGGTGCTCATTCATCTAAATTTCGTATTTGCATTTCTAACTAAAAAATTCAAATAAATTATGTGTATACGTATGTCAATTGTTGTTATAATTACAGCTATGACAACAAATTGTTGTTTATTTTTTCTTCATTTTTACACAGATCAAAAATTGGGCCTAAATATATCTGGGAATTTTGTTAATAAATTTTCTTTAATCTTTTCATAATTGTTTCTTTTGTTTTTGATATAATACAATAAAATATTTTTTTATATTATACAGTTAAAGCTCATTCAACATTAAGTCTGATATTTAACTTAAATAAATAATACAATTCCTTGAATTTTTAGTTTTCAGTTTTTTTTCTTTTTTTATAATTTTAATTTTATTAATTATTTTCATTCGCATTAAAATCAGTATGGACTTGGGAAATATCACGGATATAATAAATTCATCATCACTTCTAAGACGGATACTGACAGAAGATTTGTGACAAAAATGAAAGCTTTTTTAATGAGTTGCTTAAAACAAAAAGAAGAAAAAGGTGTTTTGTAAACAGCCTGTATGTTTTTTGTATGTATATAATTTTTTCTAGAGTGTTTTTTTTATTATACAAATATTTATATATTATTTAATAATATATGAATATAAAGATTACGTTTTTATTTTGAGAGTGGTATATATTTATTACGTAGATTTTTTATATAATTTAATATATATGGTTGAGAGGCTATAATAAATGTTCACATTTTGCTATGCCGTGATATATAAGTAGCAAGCGATGTCACAATTAGAGGCGTTTGGCAATGTCGGCATTCATAAAGTAAGGGAAAATTTTTGAAGAGACAATTTTATTCTGAAATTTGTGATTGTAAGCTAATTGCAGCCAGAAACCTGAATTAATTTAGAATTTAAAAAATAATTTGAAATGAATTTTATGTTTTTACGTAGAACTGGGTAATATTTCTTTTTCCAAAATTCAATTCACGTAGAAATGGTTTTGGAGTGCTTTTAACGCTTAACGTAAGGTTAGCATTTGAATGAAATTTCGCCGCCATGACAGCCAAACATTGATTATTTTTCCATTAATACATTGCTGTGCATTTAAATATGTAAGTATGTATATAAATAATTTCTTTTTGAGTATAGCTCTTATTTGTTAATGCTTTTTTTATTATTTTTGATTTACGTTTCTTGTTTATTTGGTTTTATTGTTAAGTCATTTCGGGAGAAAATACGCATCGTTTTCGAAAGGCTAAAAATGCTATATTTTTTCTTAATTTTTTTTTAAATACAATTTTTGTTTCCTTTTTTACTTTTAAATGGACAACATCGAGTTAAACGTTTCGTGGAGATAATTTGTTTTAAAAAAAAAAAAACTTGTCTGGTGTTTTTCTATATTTTGTAGATGTTTTGTTTTTTTAAATCGTAAACATTTTTTATTATTTGTGTATATAAATATTGTATGTAGTATGTGAATCGGAGTTGTATATATATGTGATCTATTTTATTTTTTTATTTTACTATTATTTTTCTCTCTTTCTCTTTCTAGGAATACTGTTTAGACATTTGTTGAACTGGGTCTCATATAATTTGTATGGGCGTATGAACGCAACAAACGATTGTAGGGATACTGTGCTGCCGGCCAGAGTTCGGGTTTTTCAGTTAGAGTATCGGATAAGGCTTGTAATAAAACATCTGAAAACAAAGAAAAAAATATATATTGCGTTTGTTCGTCTTTGTTCTAATAGTTTCTATGATATAAATAAATAAATTGTAAATAAAAGAGATCCAATTAACGAAGCGGACATAACTTTGTGTAACGAGGAATTTTAAAGATTTTACTGAAGAAATTTGTACCTATTACAACGTTTAATAAATATAATTATGATACAGATATAATTTATGATATAAATAATAAGATATGTACAAATAACATGTGCATATATAATAAATTAAATTGTTTAATCTCTCGAATATTACTTACGTATAACTTTTTGTTCCAAATCTAGCGGTATGACACCCAATTCATGTTCACGTTCAAAGAAATCCATTAGCTTTTTAATTTCACGCTGCGCTTCATCGCCATGTGTTAGAGATTCGGTGAACATGATCTGCAAGATCATCAATTAAATACAAAATTATAAATAATCGTTGTTGAACATTGCATCTATTTTAATATTAATAAAAGTGTACAATGGTTGACTGGCTGACTTAACGATTCATCAACGCCCAGACAAAACGCCTGAACTAGAATCTAGAAATTGGGGGTTTCAGATAACTGGAACGGTACGAAAAGTACGAAATATGGTTCCTGTTTATATTATGCATAACAGTAGAGCTAGAACTCTTAAATTCGGAATGAGGTTTACTGATGTACAAACTAAAATGTACTAAATTTCTTACAATTTCGGAGTGTGTCAAATTGGAACGCCAATCAAGCTTGAGAAGTAGGGTCGATATAAGGGGATGATTTTGGAAGTGTGTACGAGTACTCATATAAACGAAAAGTACCAAACTGTACCAATTTTGATAAAATATAATATTGGAGGATCGAATGGAGCTGGAATTTTGAAATTAACATTACAGTCGGAGTCTAGGATTGGCCTATGTAGGTAGTTTTGTACTTATGTGCACGAAAATACTAAATGGTACTATATTTGATACAATTTTGATTTGGGTTCACCGATAGAGCTGGAACACTGAAATCTGGAAATAAGATCACTACTACATTGTATAATTGAGGTATGTAGGTAGTTTTGGAAATTTGTACTTATGTGTACTAATTTGGATTTTAGATGAACCGTTAGAACTGGAATCCAGGAATGAATGTAGTTTTGGAAATTTATACTCATAGGTACTAAATTTGACACAATTTGAATTTTGGGTGAACTGATTGAACTGAAAAAGTAAAATTTGAAATAGAATCACTGTTGCGGTGTAGGATTGGGGTATGTAGGAAGTTTGGGAAACTTATAACAATGTGTACTAAAGGACCTGAATGTAAATAGTTCCCACATTGGATAACGAAGTGGCGGGCATATGCTAGCGTTGTTCAATATTTCATAAAAAGGTTGGAAACTTAATATGAAATGAAGTACCAAATTACAGATTCTTAAGTGGGAAAATTGTGCTAGAAACAACCTGCCGAAAATTAAACGGGCCTTTGTATGGGAGTTATGTATCATGGTAAAACATTCAAAATACCGAACATATCATTTTACCGAAGACGGGTCTGGATCTTTATAAGAGGACTGTGTTTAAAATCGGGTATTTATACATAAACTAAAATAAGAAAGGTGTACCCATAATTACATAATTGTATGTAAAAAAAATCCAAAAAGCCCCCTCTATTTAAAATGATAAGAGGTGAAGAATCGTGTGTGATCCCCAAACAAAAGAGCAATAAACAGAAAGTTGTTCGTGGAAGGAGCTTCCAGTTTCTTGGAAGGGTTTCCACAGGCCCCCATACACGTCCACACTCTATTTTCGGCAATTTAAATATTCTATTCTAAATGTTCAAACTAGGTTATTCCCTACAGTTGTCATCTAGGGGTCGAGGCCGATTTTAGTTAATATGCTTATTTTTGTCTAAAAAAGTATTGACTAAATATTGCGATTAACACACATACACGTATTAATACACATACAAACTTTAGAATGTCGACACATTCATAATAGTTTTGAATAATTATTTCTGACCTACTTACCCTAGCCAACTTATAAATTATTTCCTCTAAATTATATTCCTTGTGATCACAGTCGGCAATTTTAGGACGTCTTTGTTCAGCAGTATCATCTTCCGAAGTATCTAAAAAGAAAACAAATACCATTCATAAAAACCACAAAAACCTACAGGAAACCCCCCACATCCATACATACCTTGCCTCACTTGATTGCCCTGGTTCATGGCTTGAAGTTTATGCCACAAGGCTATGTTGTCCAAGGCTTTGGCTAAATTTAGATTTTCTGGCTCCTCAAGATTTTGTTCAAAATTTAAATATTGTAAATCAGGCTTAGGTGTAGTTGTTGTAGTAGTCGTGGTGCTGGTAGTTGTAGTTGTCGTAGTGGACGGTTTAGTTATAAAGCTTTTCTGTAAAGCAAGAAAAAAGTTAACAATTTAAGGCGACATAAAAACTAATTTACTATTTTAAAGTGTTAGGAACTCACCTTGACAGTATTGTGATGAATTTCCTCGGGGAAGATACGATTGGCATAGGATTTCTGTAAATATTCAATACCCACTCGTATTTCATGTAAAAATTTCAAAGCATCTTCACGGCTCATCTAGCAAAAATATGGGCGTACGCAATTAACAAACTACGTTCCGTGTGTGGGATTAAAAAGTTGTTTATAGTTACCATATCCTGCTGAATTAACTCCTCCACGGCTTTGGCCACTCCAGCCTCATCGCCAGTCCAGAAAACATATTGAGCCATATCAAAGGAAGAATATTGGCCATTGCCGTGCTTCAATAAACTTTCAGCCGTCTAATTAAGAATATAAATAAAAAGCGAGATTATTAAAAAATCACCTTAACTATTGAAAAATTAACGAACACATTGAAATAGAACGAACAAAGCGTTTTTGTTTTTTTCGTATTGAAGTGCGAACAATTTTGTTGCTAATAACGGCCGATTTAAAAATTTTGTTTTTCTTATTTTTTTTGAGGATGCATTGCTAACTAAAAGGCGTTTAAGAAACAGAACAGAAACAAAGGTCCTTTGTATTTGGTGTGGGTATATTTTTATGTTTTTTTTGTAGGAGGAACTCTAACTCTATTTGTATGGAAGCATAAAAACCTTGGGAGTCATATGGGTAACAGATCGCCGTGACGTTGACTTCCGTAAGGCTGATTCATCTTCAAGAACTAAATCACCGATCACTTGGCGTTCGGGTTCTTCGTCCTTTCTCGGTTTCTTGGTAGTACGATACGGTCTATAGGTATAGACTTGTGTGGGAGCTTGAGTTGTGGCAATTGTAACAGGCACAGTGGGCACCTCAGCTGGAGCTTCAGTCACTTCAATTTCGGACGGTTGATTAATGGTTTCAACAATATCGGATTGTTCTGGTGCTGGTGCAGGTGCCTGCTCAGCATTGTCAACTGCCTCTACGGCATCTTGATTTTCTACAGCCGGTGGTACAGCAGGCTCACCAGCCTCTGCTGAAACATCCGAGTCATTATCACTTTCATCACTATCGTGTTGTGTTGGTACTTCGGGTTGTGGTGGTGGAGGTGGTGCCACAGTTGTAGTAGTTGTCGACGTTGTCGTGGTAGTCTTCATGGTTGTGGCAACCGGCGTGGAAGATGTTGTTGTTACATTCGGAAGTACAGGATTTTGTCCATAAACGAGTCGGGCAGCACCGTACATACCCAAACGGCACTACGAAACAGTTGATGTTGTTTGAAATTAATTGACAGATTTACAAGAGAATTTTGAAATAAACAAGGTTTCATTATACCCTACACCAAATTTTTTATAAGTTTTTGGAATTATTATTTCTACGAGACAGTCTATACTGATTTTAATATTTTGAGGGCTAAGTATGTATTTCTAAGAATTTTGTTTATATATATTTTTAAAAAGTTGACTCTTTGTGGGACGAAGAACCAGAATAATTGGTACTGTAACCTCCATCTTTGAACTTGATCTAGGATGTACAATGTTTGAATCAATCCGAATACTCTCGGAGAGGTACCAGCAGAAGTGGTTCGAAAGACTTAATTATACCCAAGACTTGATTAAGTCCGATTAACTCCTTCTGGTCAATCTATACAAATAAAAGAGTAAAGTGATTGATTGACTGAACTAAACTATTCATCGTCGCCCAGACGAAACGGCTGAGACTAGAATCTTCAAATTCGGGGAGAGTGCCACTCATAGTCCAAAGGTGTCAGATTAGGCTGGATGTCTGGAAATTCGTGCTAGTACGGCACGAAAAGTACTAAACATGGTAACATTTATATTTGGCGAACCGATGGAGCTAGAACTTTTAAATTTGGATTGAGGGTCATTGATGGAGTGTAGGATACATGTACCAATTCGAACTATAAGTATCTGAAAAGTACTAAAATGTACTAAATTTGTTACAACTTGCGTATCAAGGTTGATAAGTAGGGTCAATATTAGGAGGTAGTTTTGGAAGTGTGTAGCAATGTATACGATTAATAGTTTTCGTACGAAATTTGGTACAATTTGAATTTGGAGAAACGGATGGAGCTGGAATCTTAAACTGTGAAATTAATATTACCGTCTTAGGTAGGATATGTAGGTAGTTTTTGATATTTGTGCTTATGAGTACGAATGGTACTAAATTGTAATATATTTGGTACAATTTGGGTTAAGTTGAACCGATAGAACTGGAACACTGAAATTTAGAAATAAGATTACTACTGCATTGTCGAATTGAGGTTTCTAGTAGTTTGTGAAATTCATACTTTGGTGTACTAAATTTGGTAAAATTTGAAATTTGGGTGAACCAATAGAGCTGGATCCCGAAATTTGGAATTAGGATCACTTTAAGGGTGTGAGACGGGGTACGTAAGAAAGTTTTGGAAATTTATTATAATTTCTACTAAATGGTACTTAATTTGGTACAATTTGAATTTAGGCGAACCGGCAGAGCTGAAACACTGAAAGTTTGAATAAAATTACAACTGAATTGTAGAATTGAGGTATATTCATATTTTGGGAAATTCGTACTTATGTGTAATAAATTTGAATTTTGGGTGAACCGATAAAGCTTGAATCCAAAAATTTGGAATTAGGATCAGTTTAAGGGCATAAGATTGGGGTACGTAGGACATTTTGGAAAGGTATACTGATGTATACTAAATGGTTCTAAATTGGGTACAATTTGGATTTAGAGAAGGAACCAACAGAGCTGGAATCATGAAATTGGGTTATATAATTTCCTTTGGATTGCATGATGTAGGTAGTAATGGAGATTTGTACTTATGTGTACTAAATGGTCCTGAAATTTGGAATGAATATTATGGTATGTGGAAAGTTTTGGAAATTCGTACTTATTATTGTGAAGGAAGGTAGTTATGAAGGTTTATATTAATGTCTTCTTAATGGTGCTAAATTTGGATTTGTGGGAACCTAAATTTGAAATTTGTTTTTTATTTTAAGTATGTATTACAAGTGTACAAAGGGTTATAAATGATGCCAAATTTATGATGTAGTTTTGGAAATACGTACTATAAGAGAACATACGTACTAAATGGTAGTAACATTTTAAATAGGGTCGGTATTGGGTTTTAAAAAATAATAATGCTAATATTTTATAGATTTAGTTTGAATCGAATTGAATAACCGATTTGATCAACATCATATCGGAAACCTCTTTGATAAAAACATATACCTTATATAAAGCGAATAATAAAACTTTTGTGTAATTCCGAAGACCCTCCGCAAACCTGAGTGTATATATCTGTCCGCACACCGACTGGCATTTTTTTACTGTTTTAGGAACCATTGGCCATTGGAGGATTGAATAACTTCAAACTGAAGTACATAGGTCAACGTTGAACCTGTCAAATGGTCCTAGTTTTTTTTTAATGAGAACGTTTTGAATTTATGGGGTATATGTTTACTCCGGAAATGCATAGTTCGTAGAAGTTGTAGTGTGTTAAAGAAGGATGGTTGACTTTTAAGTTGATATCAATGGAATGGAAGTAAGCTATAAGGGACTGTAAGGTCACTTTAACGGTATTTTTCTCAAGTAAAAACAATAGTTCTGACCAGAGATGGTCCCTCAGAAACAGTGACGTAAATGACATACATTTCCGACGTATAATACATACGTCAGAAACGTCTGAAACCCCCCAAAAACCATTAGGTTTTTGACAAGATAGATATTCTCATTAATCAATTCGAAAATTACGCACGCTTTACTCAAATCCATATAAAATGTCAAATTTTCTTTTCAAAAAAGTTCAGAATTTTTTATCAGCACTAGTAAGGAATAGTCAGATGTACGAAAAAATAATATATATTCTTGAAAATAACTGTATATGGTTATAATATTGAAATAAATGACGTTTACTACATTTATTACATTTTATACAAGTATATGACGTTTTCGACGTTTACAACTTTTTGACAGTCGAAAACCTAAAAATTCGTCAAACGGACCATCCCTGGTTCTGACGGACACGATAATCCAGACCGTGTTGATCGATTGGTATTGCCATAAACAAAGCTAATAATATCAGCCTTGAAATCCGGAGGAGAATAGTTTTGGGCCAACAGATGCTACTATTGTGTAATTAAGCAACTCAAAAGCAAGACCACCTCTCGCAGACCAAACTCACACCCTACAAGACGCTGATTGTACCCGTGCTGTTGTATGGATTTGAAGTATCGGTACTTGCGCAAGCAGATGAGGCAGCTCTTGGAGTTTTGAGAAAAAAATTCTCCGGAAGATCTATGGGCCGATCTGCGTCGACGGTGCGTGTCGTCGTCGAATGAACCATGAGTTATACCATCTATAGACAGACGTATCGAGCTGATGCGACTACCTTGGCTAAGCCATGTTGTGAGAATGGATTAAGATGCCAACTGATGGTTCACGGGGAAGGCTACGAATCCGAATGATCGGAAAATGGTATTTTAAATAGGATGAGATCCGATAAGACTGACGCGCTTGCAGATGTTTTTTTAAGATTGGCTTATGGAACAACCATTCTGTCATAACTCAGCTATGTAAGTGTTAATCCCATCGGTCCATGGGATTTTTGTATGTTGACAATATTTTTCGTTTTTTTTTTTATTTTAATTTCGTTATCGTATCGAGAGTGCTTCTTTTATATTTACAAACATTCACAAACCAATTATTCTATTTTAAAATAGCTCAATTTTCTCTAATCTCACCTTGGCTTTTGGTTTTTCACCATTTCCATCGGTTTTACCGCCATCGTTAGTCTGTAATGTGGGTGGTCGATGGGCGCCGACACCAGCAGCACCGGATTCAGGTGGTGTTTCACCTGCACTTTCGGCCGGGACCTGTGGACCCTGAGTACTCTGCAGTTGAGGCGTTGCAGACTCCAGCTGTTGTTCCAAACCGGGAACCGTCTCATCGGCCATTATCAATGGTTGTGGTTCTTCGGCCATTAATTTTTCCGAATTTTGTTGATGACTGTAAGGCAAAGGCTCCTCGGGATGGATTTCGCGCAACTGTTCTAATTCCAAAACATCATCATCGGTCTGCAAAAAAAAAAATATTTATTGCAATTATATTTTTACGTTCAAAATAAAATTGAGTTCAACTTTTACCTGTGGAAATCCCATATTTTTATTTTGCATCCCCAATTCATTATCCATAGATCCTGTCGTAAAAAAAAAAGAAATTAAAATAATGTCATAATTAAATTACTAGTTCAAAGACATTATTCAATATTGAATTTGCCATAAAACGGATATCGAATTATCGGGGAAAATCAATTTCTTGTTTAATACATTGTCAAACGATTGCATCTGTGACCCTGAACATGACACTCAAAGAAAGTTGTTAGTTGAAGACATCAATAATAAACTAACGTATTCGAATTTATTTTACCCATCCAGAATCTGGAATATTAAACTAAAGCAACTTATGTTAAAAATGCGCATAGATCTATCAAAAGCATTAAATTGAACCTCCATGAACCTGTAATAAAAACTATAGCCACTTCAATTTGAAAATACAACTAAAACCCAAAAAATACGGAAAATGGGTGTTCCATCTTAATATGAGGGCTATACCAATTTGATAACCCAAAAAACGACAATCACTTCGAAGTTCTCAATGTGATTAAGACCTCAAAATATCTAAAAATCGTGCTTTTTGTTATATGATAGACCCAATTGAACACACATTTGCCTTTGGCTGTATTTTGATATTAATTGGCATGAGTATAAAACATGTTGTAGCAGTGCGTTGCTACCACACTGTTCGTACTCGGCTGGAGAGGACATGTGTCAATAATCTATTTAATCCATTTTAACTGAACGCCTAGCTCAGAGCAAACAATGTGTTATCACCCAACCGTTCTCGAATTTACATAATATAAGTGCTATGCAGCTAACCGACAAGCAAGCAACCAACCCTTCATCCATCCCATTTCCATTCATCTATCGACTATTCATCCATGTCGGGACTATAATGTAATGGCGTTTCAAAAAATTACGCTTTAAATAATATAATGCCAGAAACTATTACCTAGCGATGGCCTCACAACGGGTCGGAGAGCATTTGTGTAAAATGTCAATTGGATATATTCTAAGAATGTCGCAACAATCAAACATATATATACGGGCATTATTATGTGTAGGTATATAAGAATGTTACTGTTAAATTGTATAAGTATGATTGGGGTTGGGTGGTTGGTCGGTTTAGCTTGGCTTGCTTGTTTGCAATTGTGTCTCTCGTGTTGCAACATTATGTTGCGTATTAAATTTGCAATTGTGTATTCCCTCAAGTTGATTATGGAAACGATCCGGAAGCAGAAGAAAGAAAAAAAAACAAACAAAAATCGATGTAATGCAAAAACAATTTGTTTGTTACAACAAAAAACGAAAACAAACTACATAAGGGGGCCATCGTTGATGTAACGAAAGAGAAAGTAGAGAATGGTCTTTTTTCTAATTAAAACTTTTACAAGTTGCGGTTATCCGGGAGATATTGGAATTTAACAAAACTGCAACATTACGAACATAAAGTAGAGCAAAAATTGCTAAAGATATTTTATTAATCAACCCGTAATGCGATGGAGAATTATCGGAAGAAAAGGAGAAAGGAGAAACGTATTTTTAGAAAAAAAAAAGAAAACAAGAACCAGTAAGGAAAGTAGTAAAGTCGGACGGGGCCGACTATATGATACCCTTCACCACTATGGGTATATTAAACAGGACTATTAACATGAAATTGGATGAAATAAAATATGTGATATTTATCTAAATGTGAATCTACGTAGATCTATCCATAAAGTATGTAAATCGACTTCAAACAAATATAAATAGGTCATCCGTTGGGCTATGTCTGTCAAATTTCGTGCAAATTGAAAGATATATAGCGACTTTGGTCCACCATTTACATGAAATCGGACGAAACTATATGGGAGCTATATAGAAATCTGGACCTATTTTCACGAAACTTGGCAGACATAATTCTAGGCTCAATTCAGTACGTTATGCCAAATTTGGTGCAAATCGAAAGATATATAGGGACTTTGGAGCACCATTTACATGAAATCGGACGAAACTATATATGGGAGTTATATCTAAATCTGGACCGATTTTCACGAAACTTGGCAGACATCATTCTAGACCTAATTGATTAGGCTGTACCAAATTTCGTGCAAATCGAAAGATATATAAGGACTTTGGGGGCACCATTTGCATGAAATCGGACGAAACTATATATGGGAGGTATATCTAAATCTGAACCGATTTTCTCAAAACTTGGCAGAAATCACTCTAGGCTCAATTCAGTACGTTATGCCAAATTTCCTGCAAATCGAAAGATATATAGGGACTTTGGGGCACCATTTACATGAAATCGGACGAAACTATACATGGGAGCTATATCTAAATCTGGACCGATTTTCTCGAAACTTGGCAGACATAATTCTAGGCTCAATTCAGTACGTTATGCCAAATTTGGTGCAAATCGAAAGATATATAGGGACTTTGGAGCACCATTTACATGAAATCGGACGAAACTATATATGGGAGCTATATCTAAATCTGAACCGATTTTCACGAAACTTGGCAGACATCATTCTAGACCTAATTGATTAGGCTGTACCAAATTTCGTGCAAATCGAAAGATATATAGCGACTTTGGTCCACCATTTACATGAAATCGGACGAAACTATATATGGGAGCTATATCTAAATCTGGACCGATTTTCTCGAAACTTGGCAGACATCATTCAAGGCTCCATTCAGTACGTTATGCCAAATTTCGTGCAAATCGAAAGATATATAGGGACTTTGGGGCACCATTTACATGAAATCGGACGAAACTATATATGGGGGCTATATCTAAATCTGGACCGATTTTCTCGAAACTTGGCAGACATCATTCAAGGCTCAATTCAGTACGTTATGCCAAATTTCGTGCAAATCGAAAGATATATAGGGACTTTGGGGCACCATTTACATGAAATCGGACGAAACTATATATGGGAGCTATATCTAAATCTGGACCGATTTTTTCGAAACTTGGCAGACATCATTCTAGGCTCAATTCAGTACGTCATGCCAAATTTGGTGCAAATCGAAAGATATATAGGGACTTTGGAGCACCATTTACCTGAAATCGGACGAAACTATATATGGGAGCTATATCTAAATCTGGACCGATTTTCACGAAACTTGGCAGACATCATTCTAGACCTAATTGATTAGGCTGTACCAAATTTCGTGCAAATCGAAAGATATATAGCGACTTTGGTCCACCATTTACATGAAATCGGACGAAACTATACATGGGAGCTATATCTAAATCTGGACCGATTTTTTCGAAACTTGGCAGACATAATTTTATGCTCAATTCAGTACGTCATGCCAAATTTGGTGCAAATCGAAAGATATATAGGGACTTTGGAGCACCATTTACCTGAAATCGGACGAAACTATATATGGGAGCTATATCTAAATCTGGACCGGTTTTTTCGAAACTTGGCAGACAACATTCTAGGCTCAATTCAGTACGTCATGCCAAATTTGGTGCAAATCGAAAGATATATAGGGACTTTGGAGCACCATTTACCTGAAATCGGACGAAACTATATATGGGAGCTATATCTAAATCTGGACCGATTTTCATGAAACTTGGCAGACATCATTCTAGACCTAATTGATTAGGCTGTACCAAATTTCGTGCAAATCGAAAGATATATAGGGACCGTTTACATTAAATCGGTTAAATATATATATGGGAGCTATATCTAAATCTGAACCGATTTTTCCCAATTTCAATAGGGTTCGTCCTTGGGCCGAATAAGTGACCTATGCCAAATTTCATCTAAATCGGATTATAAATGCGACCTGTACTTTGTTTACAATTTAACACCAACAGACGGACAGACGGACGGACATGCATAAATCGACTCAGAAAGTGATTCTATGCATATTCTCAAAAGGAACTATGGGTCTATCTCGTTTCCTTTTGCCTGTTACAAACATATGCACAAAGACATAATACCCTGTACCACAGTGTGGTGAATAAAATAAATATATATATGGGAGCTATATCTAAATCTGAACCGATTTTTCCCAATTTCAATAGGGTTCGTCCTTGGGCCGAATAAGTGACCTATGCCAAATTTCATCTAAATCGGATTATAAATGCGACCTGTACTTTGTTTACAATTTAACACCAACAGACGGACAGACGGACGGACATGCATAAATCGACTCAGAAAGTGATTCTATGCATATTCTCAAAAGGAACTATGGGTCTATCTCGTTTCCTTTTGCCTGTTACAAACATATGCACAAAGACATAATACCCTGTACCACAGTGTGGTGAAGGGTATAAAAACGTGATCGTGAGTAAATCGAGATGTACAGAAGTCAGAATAAAGTCCGGAAATTTTACCAACGTGTAAAACACCAAACCGAAGTCTTTGGTGCAAGCACATCCTCCTATAGAGATGAAGAAGGAAAGCTGGTGGTAGATAGCGTGTTGAGCATCTAGAAGGGGCATTTTGCAAAACTTCTGATATCAAAAAGTGACGGTGCAGAAGATACCCCAGAACCAATAAGAGATGACGGTATAAAGTGTATACCACCTAGTCAAGTTGAGGTCAGAATAGCAATCATGCGGCTGAAGAGTAATAAAGCACCAGGTGCCGATGGATTACCAGCCGAACTATTAAAGACAGCTGGTCAGACGCTGATCAAGAGCATGCACCAACTGATTATTAAAATTTGGCTAAAGGAATGCATGCCCAATGATTGGAACCTCAGCATGTTGTATCAAAAAAAAGGAGACAAGGCGATATGTGCCAACTATAGAGGAATTAGCCTTCTTCCCATCGCATATAAAGTGCTATCCAGTGTGCTGTGTGAACGATTGAAGCAAATGGTCAATGACATTATTGGACCAATGCGGCTTCAGACCTGGCAAATCCACCATTGACCAGATTTTCACTCTGCGCCAAATCCTGGAAAAGACCCACGAAAAACACATCGACACATACCACCTATTCGTCGACTATAAAGCCGCATTCGACAGTCCTATCCGTTCGAGGGTGTTTAAAGTCATGTCTACGTTCGGCATTCCTCCAAAATTAATACGGCTATGCAGGATAACTTTAAGTGGCACAAGGTCAGCAGTTAAAGTCGGAAAGGATCTATCGGAGCCCTTCAACACCGAACGAAGGTGACAAGGTGACAGTTTGTCGTGTGATATTTTTAACATCATGCAGGAAAAGGTCATACGAGACGCAAAGGTGAATGCCACTCTGTACACCAAACAACACATGTTATTCGCCTACGCCGATGACATCGATATAATGGGTCGAACATTTGCGAGCGGTAACAGGTACATTTGAACAAATTGAGAAGAAATCTGCCAAGGTGGGTCTGGCAGTAAACGGCGAGAAGACCAAGCTGATGGTATCAATGCACAAAACGTCCAGTAGGACCAACTGTGGTACTTGAAAACTACAGCTTCGAGGTAGTTAAAGATTGTATATACCTTGGTACCGCCATAAATAAATCGAATGACATCAGTTTTGAAATTCGGAGAAGGATCGTGATGGCCAACAGACGCTACTATGGTCTAAGTAAGCAGTTTAGAAACAAGGCCACCTCTCGCCAGACCAAACTCACACCCTACAGGACGCAAGCATATGAGACAGCCCTTGGAGTATTTGAGACAAAAATTCTCCGAAAGATCTACGGGCCGATCTGCGTCGACGGTGAATATCGGTGTCGAATGAACCACGAGCTTTACAATTTATATGCGGACATCGACATAGTCAGTCGTATTGAGCTGCAGCGACTACGATGGCCAGGCCATGTTTTGCTAATTAATGATGCCCCAACTCAAAAGTCATATGAAAGCGAGCCTACTGATGATTACAAAATATACGAGGACGGGATTTATTCTCTGAGAAGTCAAAATTCTAATAAACAATCACTTTAGTTGGGAATGTGTTCGGAACTATTAAAATGTCTAACTACCCCATTTTTTATTTTTAAAGGATTTCGATGCCTAAATGTGGTCATCTAATTTCAAGAAATGGGGTGGGATCTTTATATGGGGGTTATGTAAAAATATGGACCTATATTGTCATTTTCTGTTCACAAAGAAAACGAACTTCCATCCACCATGCATAGTTTAACAGTGTTCGAATCATATTGTTGTTAATCCAATAAATTGAAATCAATTCAAAGGTTTTGATCCCTTTTATCTATTAATTAACATAAAAATATTAAACAGCATCCCATGCTCTATAAAGTTCGAGTGCAACCTGCTCTAGAACCTCTATTTATCTTATTTCATAATTCATTTATAATTAATTATATCCCTCAGAAGGTTTCTTAGTTATAAATTATTCAGGACATAACCTTAATTGAGAATAGACACACAAGTTCCATAACAACCATCTACGTGACTTTGAGGAATGTGTTTCACTTTCTTATTTGTATTTTTAATTTATTAATTATCACTATTTTCCCATTGTTAATGGCTTGAGGAGGATTTTATAAATTAAAAAGTGAATAGAAGTTTAAAATGCCGTTGTAAAACTTTTCATCTTTATGAAAAGCTAATGATTAATGCTTGCAGTGAAATAGAAAACTGATATAGACAAACTTTTCACGAAAGTCATTGCCATAGAAAAGAAAATTTTCTGTCCGATTATTGACATAACATTAGCCACTTATTTTTATGACAAACTTTAATTAAATTATTATTGTTGTTGTTGGTCGTCTGTTGCAACGCAACACCAACATTTTGTGACATTTAAAGAAATCATAAAACAGAGAGAGAGAGAGAGCGGTAGAGAAAACATAAAGTTTATGAAGCGTCTAAATGTTTGCTATTATTCGAAAGGTCAGACGAAGGTGATGTTACTATTTTTCTTATTTAATTGAGGTATATTTGTTTGTTTTTTTTTTTTTTATAAGAATACATAAAAGGGCTATTTTGATTGGTGTTCTTAAATTTAATGCAATTTGTATTTGGTTAAAATAAAAATAATAATTTTTAATAAAATACATTTTAATGCAAATTCTAATAATTCGGATTGTTTTAATGTCAATAGACGGGTTCGATCTTTGTCAAATTTAATGTGCTTTCAGGGAAAATTAACAATAGGGTAAAACAACAAATACGAAAATGTGGCGCCCAACTGAATCTGTATATGTGTATATACAAGGATTAACATGGAAATAGATTGTTATCCTCGATAATTTAGTCCGTGATCTAAAGCAATGTAAAAAAATTTTGGACATTTTGGTTTTAACAACAATCTCGATGACAATAAATCGCTGATTTCATATATTTCCTTTAAAGAAAATATACTCAACGGACACATAAACGTTTTTATAGACAAAAAATGTAACTCAAACCCCCACTCAAAAAAAAAACCTATCTACCAAAAAAACATAATAAAATAAAAAGTAAAATTTATTTATATGTCCTGTCCTTGGATTCCTTTTCTATGAACAGACCCAAAAAAAGAAAAAAAATCCACAGGCTAAAACATGAAAACAAAACTGTTGGCAATAAAAATAAATTCCAATGTGTCTCTCTATCATTTTAAACGTATTTCCATACATTCATACAAACATTTATTTGTGTGACGTCTTTACCAACCACATTCGGTATGCGTGCATGTGTAAGTCCTTTTTTTAACCCTCTGGGGAAACAGTGGAATACCAGCATGAACTGAGGTCATTGAACGTTTAAATGACATTCACTATCTTTTTTTATTTTTCATTGTTTGCTATTTGGAAGCTTATCTAACGCTTTGTGCTAGTCGAAAAAAATTGAAGGAAATACAAAATTTTTGTCACGAAAACACTAATTTCAATGTATAATATATAATAAAAAAAATATTGAATTTCATGCTTTACCAAACTTTACCCACATAGGAAATTTCCCTAGGACTATCAAAATGTCTATATTAGGGATATTCCAAACATTGAACCTATATTGAAAATGGTCTCACTAATAATTTCTTCCAAGAATGCCAGTAAAGTTCTAATGTACAATAAAGGTCTATTTATGTCTTACACAACTATGTTGTAACGCCGCAAACTATTAAGTATACCGATCGTCATATCTCGACTAGCTGAGTAGATATAGAAATGTGTGTCCGTCCGTCCATCCGACTGTCCATTATAATTTATAAACACGATACAGGCCACAATTATGGACCAATCGTCACTAAATCTTGCATGTAGGATGGGTTCTGGCCAAAGAATGAAATGGACCAACAATTTTATTGTTGTCTGTTTTTCGGCCGTGTATGTACACGGATGTGGGGGAAAATGTTGGGCTGATCGCTTTGAATTTTTACATAAAGTTCCGGTTATGGTCAAGGACAACGATTATAATTTTCAGGGATGTTAAGATGATGCAATAAACCGAAAACTTTATTGTTGTCAGATTTTCCAGTCGCTGGACCATTATTCTGGTATGCAGAACATTACATCTTTTACACGGTGAAGGGGATCTTACCAAATACATAGAACTGCTGTTTAGATGATGATCGCGCAATATTCCGAGGGTCAAATCAACCAAAACCTAAAGTGACCTAATTTTTATATTATGCTGTAAATATTCACCTCGGGAAAAAAGATTTGGAAAATGTGCCAGGCTTAGAACTACTATCAGAACTATACTGCTCCCCTCACTGGTTTACCTTTGTCACTGTCAACATTCCTGTGGGTCGTGCACCCATGATGATACCTAATTTCCCAGTAGAGATATTTGAAGTAGCAAACTCTTCAGTCAAACACACCCATCTAACCTTCAATACAGGTTCATCCAGAATGAGTGCAGTTTGTCTGCTTTCGTCCAGTTTTTGAACAGTTGTGTAGGTGGTACCAGAAGGGCTGGTTCGATGTACTTAATCTTCGGAATTGATCGAAGTTTTCAAAATGCCCTATCATCAAAACATGGTATTATTGCTTGCCAAAATCATTCCTTGTTTAATGTACGTCATCCTCAATAGGATCCCGAACCTCATTTATAATTGTTTTAAAATATATTATCAACCCGTATGGCAGTCTATCCACGATTAGCTTGTGAATTTAAGATTATATATATTTTGTGGTTAGGGTCATAACAAACATATATCACACCTTATAATATAGATGTGCAGAATATAAATCAGATGCTCTAAAAATAAATTATATGAAAATATAAAACAAGATTATGAAGAAATCTCTATTGCTCTCAATATTTTTAAATCTTAGTTAGCCGATCACTTCTTTCAACATACTTTCATTTAAATCCCCAAAGTGCTTATGGGTTAACTAACAATCATGTTCACCGAAATTGTTTTCGTTTAAAGAAATCCAATGTTAAACTGTTGGATTAAAGCCAACATCTTTATGTAGAACAACAGCAACAACAACGACAACAATAATAACAATCACAGACAATAACCAAGACGCCAACAGTTTTATTTTTCCACAAGAAAACCCCAAACAAATAGAAAACACAAAAATATATCGGAAATCGATATCAGCTGCAGATATTTCTGTCTTTTACTCTTTAAACAAATGTAACCCAAGTAAATTAAATCATGTGTAAATGTTGGACTGCCCTTACTGTAGCAACAACAACAATACATCATCATCATCATTTTGATTCTTTTACTGAATACTTACTGTGCAAACGAGGCATAACCAACGATGGAAAGGCCACGGAAGTGCCCATCCAACAAAACACCAAAAGTGATGCGAATCCCAACATCAAAGTGGGATTATGTAAATTCATGTTTGCGGGTGAGGATGACGGCAAACGGCGACGGTGCACGGACACGATTTTAATAAACTGCAAATAAAGAAGACATTTTACAAAAAAATAAAAAAAACATTTTTTATTGAATGGATTTTGATAACAATGGGTGTGCTATTATCATATCATGAACAATAAAACATTGTGAAAAAGGAAAAAAATGGATGAATAAGGGTATTGGTGAAAAGAAAATTTAAAAATAGATTTTTTCGTTTTCTTTCTTTATCTCTCATATTCCATTGAATTAGAAAGTTGATTGTTGAATTAGAAATGGAAACGAAAAAAATATGGATATTAATTTATTAGATTATGACATATTATTTTCAAAAATCTAATAATATTGTTATTCTATGCCGTCAAAAAATAGGAATTGACAATAATAAATATACATACATACTCGTATGTTGATACTATATGTACTCATGGTTACAAATAATTTGGTAATTATAGGATAACATTATGCAAATTGTATTCAATAATGTGTTGAGTGGAAATAATTAATACGACATATCGACGCCTCCGAACCATAGTATGCTAAGTCGACTTAGCATGTTTTAAAGTTCTTTACGTTTTTAGATACTACGGTCCCTAATTTAAATTCTCTGAAATGTTGGTAATCATCGGCCAATCCAAACCAAAGATATAAGCAAAAATGTACTTAGCATGGCACGTAAGATTAAAGAAACTTTCATACTTTGAAAGCTTCTACTGAAAAACTCACTTTTCAGACTTAGCATACTATTCTTCGGAGGCGTCGATATATCATTCCAATGGTATTCTAATTCAAAAATAATATTTTACTTCTCAGTTTGTTCTACTATTCCTTTGTAAACTGGTAATTCGTAGTGGCAAAGCCTTTAGACGGTGTGCAGTAAATACCTTGCTTTGCAGAATTATTTATTAAAAATTATTTTCTAACGGTAAATATATGTTAATAGATTATGTGTACACGAAATGTTGCATGTAGATTCGGTTCTGGCTAAAGACGTCCTCTATTGGTTTTGGCAATGAAGGGATAACATTTAGGGGATGAAATGGACCAAATCGCTGTAGATGCCACAGTTATGACCCGAACATCACTGAATTTTACACAGGGGAAGGGTCTGACCATGGAATAACCAGAACTGGTTTGATGAAGATGGGTCAATATATAACGGGTCAAATGGATCCAATATTTTGTGTGAAAATGACAAAATTTATATTCTAGGGCGTGAAAATATTTACACCTGAAGGTTATATACCACAAATATATATATATATATATATACCCGTGTAGTATATCCAAGAGGGGTGGTTGACCTTTAAATTGATACCAATTATATGTACTCGGATATAGGAGTTGTATAATGATAATTACATATGTCTACGTATTTTGGAATTGATTAGTCTAATGTCAGTCTAATGTTAACCATGTCCTATCAGGAGAAACAACAAAAATAACAAAAAAACATGTATCTATGTGAAAACAATGGCATTGCTTAGGAACAAATATGAGTAACATTTTTTGTATTTTAAAGCCCTCAAAGTCGTTAATATTTTCTATGATAAAGGAATATTTCCTATGAAAATGGACGTACCCGAAAAAGTTTCCCATTAGCAATACAGACTTTTCCTAAACAGTAATATTTTCATAAAATCTCAAAAAATATCCTAAACAGGAAATATTATCGGGTGGGTGCTATATGCAAGCATGGATTGGTAGAATAGACTTGTTATCAAATATATAAATATTGATATTATTTTGGTAGGTACAATCGCATTCGGTGAGAAAATATTTTCATAATCTAATTTGGCCAGGGATTATCATCACAATGACAGCTATCCTGCAACAACAACATTTTTTACACCAGATCGCCATAATTACCAAGCCGTAAAATTTAGACTTCTAAGTTTTTAACCATCCTCACATGTTTTCTTACCTCTCCGCACCAAATGTGAATATATTTCCAAATATGACAGTATTATTAGACAAGGATGAATATATCAACATTTAAAATTTTACCACAATTACAATTTAAAATACCCAAATTCAGGCGATAACGGTGCACTCCTTTGAAATTTATCCAAACTAGATCATGTCCAAAGTTGTGGCCCATTTGACAGTTGAAAAACATGGATCGAAACAACTCAATATTGAATACAATTCGCCGTAACATCCGCTAAAAACTATCGAGTGTTTGCCTAAGTTGCGGAATTGTTAGTAACTCCCCTATAGCAGACCTTGTTTAATACGATGTATATTGCACAAGAAACATTAAACATTTAATATCTTGCCGTTTTTAATAATTTCGAATAAATATAGCCAAACATGTGAATCTGATCATGAACATAAAGTATGTCATTGGGTCTCATGCATAAAACGTGAGTTGAGCTCGGACTCGATTTTTTGAGTAAAAGGTGCTTGTCGTATGCATAATAAAATTTGATGTATTTGCTTTTACTCACTGCTCACGTTTGATCTCTTTTTGCCAAGTTTGAACTTAGAAATTGATGTTGGATGAGATTGTTGTCATTTTCATATGCATAAAAAGAAGCTTTTGCTTACTTTTGTGAGCTCTTGCTTAACTTTTGTTGAGCATGCCTCTTTGACTCGCGTACACTAAATGGAATAATTATCAGTGATTGTGAACATAATTTATCACAGAAAATGATTTTTGAAAAATATTCCATGAATATTTTGTGTTGAAGCTTGACAATAACCCCCAAACATAAACCAAAACATGTCAACGATTGGTTGCGGCAGTCCAAAATCCGGATTTTATGATAGCCAACACAATCATCAGATCTTCACCCTATAGAAAAATTTTTGGATCATCATCATTAGCAAAATTCAAAGGGATTCACTAACAAACAAAATAACCTCTTCCCAAAGGTTCAGGATGTGAGGAATATCAAAGGATAAAATTTTGGATCGTATAGTTTCAATATCTCGTAGGTGTAATCAAAAATAACGGTTTTTCTGTCGATTACTAGTTAAATCTCCTTATTTATATTCTTAAAACAAACTTTCTCAATAATTTAATTTTCAAAAAAAAAAGTTACGGGTCATTAATACAGTTTGCAATTTTAGTTTCTTTAGTTTTGGCTACCAGTGCATATATTTTATGCGGTCTCAGGTGAATATTTCGAGATGTTATAAACGGAATGAAAAATTGAGGAATATTAGCCAAGTATTTGCAAATATTCGGGTTTCAACAGGCGGGTATGGATATAATTGATTTAGATCAGGAAAATACGTATACTTTAGGAGGTCTTCGACAAATATTTCAATGTGTGGCGTATATGTACTCCGCCTTATGGTGCGGATAATAATAATAATTTGTTCATTTCTTTGACACTTGGTAACTGACTTTTTTCAAGTAAAGAAGAAGTTTGATCTCAATTTGCTCAAGTATTTGCAATTGGTTTGAACTCATTTTTATGCATACGAAATTGAGCAGAAGCAGTTGCTGTTCGATCTAACTCAACTTACGAGCAATTGCTTACTTGACTCAACTCATCGCTTTTGCTCGTTTTTATGCATGAGACCCATTGTCTTACAAACGGAATGAATATACCCTGTAGCGTATAATTAATATGTATAATAACTCATACGCTTCCTGATATTAGAATTTTAATAAGACGATTATTTTTGTTTTAATTATGTAATTCGTACTAATAACTATTCCAGAATGTACCTTCAACAATTAGAACTAAAATAAAAATTTTCGGATTGGGTATACTGATCACTGGTATACAATTGCCCCATATGAAAAAAATATGTATATTTACTTTATTTCTTTAAATGTGTAATATTTTCTGTACTCGACGAATTTGTATTTTGTATTTACTGCGTAAATTATAAATGTGTTATATTAAATTATTTGTCTAAAAGTTTATTACGATATATGCAAATTCGTCCTTTGGAAAGCTTTAACATATGTCTCCCAGCTTTATTAGGCACACAAACCAATGATATATATCCGACAGTCTGTTTGACAGACTGTTTGACTACACTTAAGGGGACCCCCCCATTCTCGGGGTCAAAATTTTTGTTGACTTCATTCCAATCTACAATAATTCAAGAATGTCCCTGCAAAATTTCAAGTAAAAATCTCAAGAACTCTTGAAGATATATCCGATTTATTGTGTCAGCATCAAGTGACGGCTGAAGGGCTTCTCAAACTTTAAACGCGTTTTTCTCTAAACATTTTTTTGCGAATGGCGGGCACGATAACTCAAAAACTAATAACCCAATCGATTTCAAATTTTTACACGTTTCTCTGTGAGTGTATAGCTATCGTATGAACTAGGATAAAGCCAATCGGTGAAGATCTTCCTTATCTTTTAACTTGGTTTTTGGTAAAAAATCGGCGATTTTCCAAAAATATTTTTCCAAAGGTCCGCCATTTTGTTAATTTTAGAGCGAAGTCAATAATCCTAGTTCATACGAGAGCCAGACATGTACTCTTTCTAACACCGTTGGAATTTTCGGATTCCGATGTTCCAGTGAGGAGTTATCATGCCCGCCATCAAAAATAAGGACTTTTCTTTGATCACAAAAAACAACAACAAAACAACAACAAAATTTTTTTGTAAATTATTTTTCTTCCTCTTTAAATCTTCAAATATATATGTGCAAAGTTACAAACCTTAACAAGCATTGGTATTCATTTACCAGCCCATTTAAAATCTTAAAAATAAAAAATCGAGAATGGGGGGGTTCCCTTAAAGGATAAGGAGAAGTTATTGGGGAGTGGGATAGCGAGCGTGTGAATGTAACCGTTAGCACGATTGGCTAAAAATAGCTAAGCAAACAACAACAACAGCAATAGGAACACCAATAAAAATCAATACTAACAAAAAAGAAATAAAAAAATGAGAATAACAAACAAAAGAACGACGGAACGAAACAAAATAAAAAAAACAATAACAACAACATCAACATCAATTGGTTACCAGGAATAATACTATCATATATACTAATACTTTAAAAACAACAAAGAAACATACATATACAACACTATGCCACAATCTTAATCTTAATTACATTAACATAAGATGGAGTGTAAATATGTATGTGTATATATATATATATATATATTCTTAAAATATTCTTCTGAGACCATTAAATATTCAGTCCCAAATTTCGATATTTTAAGAGTTTTTGTCGCAGTTAGTGTAATATGGTATAAAATATTTAATATAGGTCAGACTCAAATTTCGATATTAAAAATAATGCGACTATTTCCAAAGAAATTGAAGTAATTTAAAATTTCGAATTTCTGTTGAATAAAAAAAACGATTTCTACAAACCTATGTAATTTTTTTCTCCACAGTTAAAATTGTAACGTCGTCGCCAGTCTTTGTAATCAAGACGCACTTGCCAATGCATTGGCAACTTCAATTTTAATATTATTATTAGATTTTACAATATAGACTACTTTAATAGCTTCACAATTTAAATCACAACATTTTGTAGCACAGTGTTATAGAAAACATATACATATTCACAATATAAATGTTTTTTGTATTTTGTATCAGATTTCTTGTGCCAACGGAAAATGTAATAAAATAAACTGGTAAATGGTGGCAGGTCAGACTTTTTGAATGGAACGAAGAGGGGAAGCACTCATACAAACCCACATACTACATTCTACATTCGTTATTCTAAAACAAAAGGGGAAACAATGCAAACGGAAGTTGCCAAAACACGCACACACAGATGCACACATACAAACCAACATTGCATTAAAGAACCCAACACTCCACTTCACAACAGCAACAACAACAATAAAGCACTAGATACAACAAGAAGTACTCAATTTTGAAAACTCCCACTTCTTCTGTTGTTTCACTTCCATGAAATATTGCAAAAAAGTAGAGAATAACAATAACACTCATCACAATTACATATATACAAGTACACTATACATTGGACTCTTTAATTTCTGGGCAATTCGAGAATATGTATGTGTGTATGTACGGGTTTTAAATAATTTTCTATGTCACCGCAGTGTCGTTGGCAAGGGAAATGGAGATGAAAGTGAAATCGGAATATGCTAGTTAGAGTGAACGTATGTGTGTGTGTGTGCGAGTTTTTCAAATGCACCCAATGATTAGAGACACTTGATAAAGGTCCTTTGAGGGCAATAACATAGAAACCTAAAATCAATTAACCATTAAAGCTGCTATACAGAAACATTGTTTTGATTTGGTTCCGAAACCAGCAAAGATACTTCCGCAGGTATATATTTAACTATGACACTCATTCGGAATAACAAGCAATATAGAACAAAGAATTTATTTTAAATCCTTCTTTCAGATATTCACCTTTATTTGTTAAAAGTTTTTGTTGTTGTTTTAATTGAAAATTCGTCTCAACTTCTTCCGTTTTATTTAATGTTTTCGTTTTGTTCTGTTCTTAATTTTTTTCTATAGTATATTTATGACCCGTTTAAAATGTTTTTGGTGTTCTCCTTATTTACGTTTCTTCCGTTGTAAAAACACTTGCCGTACAAACGCCACAGTTATGTCTTATCGAGCCGATGGTTACAAACACTTTGAATGGTGAAACTCAAATATTGTTATGCCTGAACCTATGACAACTGCCTTTGGCCACAAAGCTTTAGCGACCTTAGAAAGCTTTTATGTGTGTGTGTGTGTGTGTGTGTGTGATTGTATTCGAGAGTGAGGGAGAATCGGTATGACAGTGATTACCGGTATATGGTTGTAGCAATAAATTATATATTTCCACAAAAATTATCAATTCTAATTTTTGGGTCCTTCAAGATAACACAACCAACATCACATTTCGACTTAAAATTCCATACATTAATAATCAAATCATGCGGAGAATTTGAACACTCACAAATATGCATAAACCTTTATAGTACGAATTGCAAAATTTTGATTCTCGATTTTAGCCCTCCAATGACAATCAAAGGTAACAAAACAACAATAAGAGTTCCCTTATTTTTGTTTTAACAATCACAGTGACACCCAAACAGTTACAACAACAACAGTAATTGAGCTGATATCCGACATCATAAATTCCGCCCTTCCGAGTAATATCAAGCGTTCCCAACTACCTTCATGGGCGGCTAGCCTTCGTTGAGCTCCGTGGCAAAAAAAAAAATCCAACATTTCGCAAGATCTATATGGGAGTACCGCAAGGTGACCTATCTCCCACACTGTTCAATATGTATCTTGCAAAACTCCTTATTCCTCCACCAAATGTTTCAATGGTGTCGTACGCCAATTACTGTACGATTATTTCATCCGGTGTTAACATTTCCAATCTAACATTATCCACTGTGTCGTTATTTATTTTCTGTCAATTTCGAACTTGACATTTCCATTGAAGGTAGACGTTGGTAACGACATACAAGGCCATACTTATTTATGCTGCCCCATTCTGGACATATTTCCATAGCGACACTCAATGGAGATCATTGCAAACAACCCAAAATAATGCACTCCATATTACAACCGACTGCGTCCACAAGACGAGCGTCGATCACCTCCATGAGGAGACTAGGATACTGTCAGTCAAGCAACATAATGTGTTGTTGACTAGACAGTTCCACGTCATTCCATCGGACGTCAACAGATCGATACGAAATTCGATGAAATCCGTGCATCAACTGGCGGTCTCCGAAGTCATAAATGGCTACAGATGCAATAAAGTCCTACTCCAACACCCTCCTGCAAATTCGGACAGTGAGAGGCTTCTTCCAAGGCAAATCTGTTCGATCCGGGTGTTCTCAATTCGTATTGAGAGCGCATTGGAATCCCCGGATTCCCCTATAGGTTTCCCCCCTGAAAGCAAAGCCCTCACGATAGACACCGTATATTCAATTGTCCTTCCGAGCCTACTAGTATATTGCCTATAAACTTAGGCTAAAGCCAATAGAGGTGACACAGTTTCTCCGGCTATCCTCTTCAAATAATAATTCCTAATTATTCCTAATCTAAGTCTTCAACCGTCCACACATGTTGGTATTATTACAAATATTGAATTGAATATTTTCGCTAATATGGCGTTATCACATAAAAGCATTATTTAAGAAGATGTTAGAAATTTAAATCGAATGCACCAGACAAGGATGAATATCAACTTTTACGATATAATCGCCCAAATTAGGGGTTTATACGAAATAATAAAATGTTCACATACAGCGGTACCTAACATATATAATATAGATTTTATTCCATATTCATATAAATGCATGTATACACATCTAACCACAGTCTTGATTGCAGTTAACACAACAAAAAAGCTTTCATTGAAATTCCATTTCTCCCTGTTTCTCCGAAAGTTAATATGAATGAATTTTAATGGAGGTAGGTAGGATACATTGCTTTGTTCTCGTGTGAATGCGTCTAACAGGTTGAGGAGATTTTGTTTTCGTTTTTAGTCTTCGCATGTTGGGTAAATTCAATTTTATTACGTGTTTTTAACAACAGTTTTTTTCTGTAGTCACTTTGTTTTCTGTTGTTGGCAAATTCGTCGTCATTCGTCTTTCTCTGAGTTCAGGGGGATTATCCTGCGAACGATGGCAAATAGAGTAAAGACAGCAAAACAGTAATGCTTCGTTGTGGTTATTTCTATTTTTAGATTTTTTGTTTTTGCTTATTTTGTTCGAACAGACAACAAAATTTATATTTCACGAAACAAAAAGAGTGGAATGTTCTTGTGATAGCATGAGAGTTGTGGGTCTTGATTGAAACATATGGTCATACCAAATGTAAATTAATGATTAAGCAAAGTTCCATTGATGCCATAAGAGCATATGGACAAGGACCAAATACATTAAAACAACAACAAGAAAACCCCAACACATACAATTGCATACACACACATATAAGTGGGGATATTTCCGGTACGCATTAATACAAACATATATACATGCGTAGTGGGTTAATCGGATTATCGAGATATGTTAATTTTGTTTTGGTTTATAGTACATCAAGGAAATGAAAAGATTTATTATAAGGCTATTTTATGGAAAGTTTTTTTTTATTATTTGTAATAGCTTTAGAGTCTATTAATTATTTTTGGCACTAGGTCCTCCCATTAAAGTAAAATATGCATATATCATAAGGAAAATGATAAATTGGTATTCGTAAAATGTCCTGATTAACATTAGGCAATATTACTTGTGGCAATTGTTTATTTGTGGATGAGTTAGATGCCATATCTCTCAACTCTCTTACCAATAAACTACAGAATTGAGGCAATTAAAATTGCCTAATGTAAATCAGGAGAATTGCTGTAATGCATTTCAGTTAATAAATGGTATGTTCCCGTACAGCAAGAATCTACTACTTTTTACTACGATAAAGAATTTTCCATTGTGATATCGAAGAACATAGTAAAATCTAGTAGATTCTTGCAATGCGGGATCATATCAAATAATCGTAATATTTTAAAGCCTATTCAATACTGTATATTGTTAATTACTGTATATTGTTATAATTTAAAAACGAATAATTTGTACATAAAATTTATCGAGCTTATATCGTATAAATGGGAGTCCCGACAAGTCTCAATACGATATATTACCTTTTGTACTGATTGAAATATACCGAATTGTACTGAAATATATGGTCTAGTAGATTCTTGCAGTACGGGAACAGACCAATAAATTCTTTTTACTGAAAGAATTCAAATTTATTTTATGAGAATTAATTGGTACAGTTCATAGTCTGTGAAATGGATCAACATCGTTATGAATCAAGCCAAATAGGTCATTCAGCCTTACTGCACACAATTTCATCGAACTTATTCAATTTAGTATGTGATTTTAGTACACAACACCAAGAGCGATTCCAAAATCAACTACTCCAAAATTATAAAAATAACAATATATTTACTAATATAACAACATAATTCCATATTTAAATTTATGATTTTTTTGTGAAGTTATAATGTAGCACTGAATGTCTTAAACAAATTTTAAGTTGTTAAGTAAACCGTCATATGCTATATAAAGAGTTTTCTCCAATAAAGAAGTCGAATTCGGCACATGTACTCAGGGACTATCCATAGCAGTGGATTTCTTAAATAAATACATTTTTCAGTAATTATTGTATTCCTCCATAGACATGGATTTCTTAAATAATATTTTTTCAGAGACTATCGTAGCCCTCTATAGGACTAGATTTTTTAAATAGCATATTTCAGGGACTATCTATAATGTTATTGTTGTAAATCTTCACAGTAGTACAATTTTAAATACAATTTTAAGGGCCTATAGGCGGGAATTTTTTAAATATTTTTTAGAGACTCTTGTAGGATTTTGTATTGAAATCAAATAGCATTTTTAAAGGACTACCGTAGCCCTCCATAGTTGTACAATTTTTAAATACTTTAGGAACTTTCGTAGCCCTCCGTTAATTATTAAAGAATATTTTTTAAGGACTATCGTAGCACTCTACAGACTTGCATTTTGTAAATAGCATATTTCAGGGACTATCATAGCTCTCCACAGTCCTACAATTTTTAAAAATTAATTTTAACGCATTATCGCATTGGCGGGTTTTTAATAATTTTTCAAGGACTGTCGTAGGATTTTGTAAGTGTAAACATTGAAAAAACAGTTCACAGGGACAATCGTAGCCCTCTATACACTTGGATTGTTTAAATTGCATATTTCAGGACTATCGTACAAGTATAAATTCGTAGGCGGCGACTTTTTACATTTTTCATGAACTGTCGTATGTATTTATAATAGAATCAAAATTTTGATTATTGTCTTGTTTTATCCCTTATATTATGATGTTCAATAACATTTATTACCAATAAACACTTAACATAATAATTTTATCAATTATAAATCATATATATTCAATAACATTACATATATATGAACTATAAAGCATTGTTTAACTGCAACCTGGGAATGGATCTACACGATTTTTGCGAAGTACAAATTGGATTTTACGATTCATATCTTCATTGTAAATGGCTTTGCACTTTTCGAAATTTACACGACGTCTGACCTGCAAAGAAATGAAAAAGAAAACAAATTGTATTTAGTTTATATTCTCAAAAGATCCGAATGTTTTTTTCATACTTGGTATGGCTTTTCATAGTAACGTGTACGACGAAATTGATCAAAGATTTCTTCCTTGCCCAGAACACGATTCAGTAGCCGGCATGCCTCTTCCACATTGTTGTTTTGCACGAGCACAGTACGTGCCAAGAATTGTGCGTGCCTCATTTTGTTGCTAAAAGACAATAAATACAAGGTTAATTTCAATTATGTTTTTTAATAATTATTTGGATTTTTACTTGTATTAAGTAATCAAAATATTCACTAGAGAGTACCTGCGTGAAGATAGCTACGTTGCTAGGTTTCAATAACAAATGTTTTGTCAAAACAACAGGGTGACCCAAACATGCAAATCTTTACTATTTTCTTTAATATCATATGTGGTCTGTTCCCATACTCCAAGAATTTACTACTTTTTACTACGATAACGAATTTTCCTTTATGATATCGAAGAAAATAGTAAAATCCAGTAGATTCATGCAGTACGGGAACAGACCAAATACTAGTCAATATCATTGAAAAAAGCAAAGTTTCCTCTATCATTTCGTCTGTTCTAAAACTTGCAAGAATGTACGTTTTTTACTACGATAACAATTTTCCCTATATGTAATATTTATATATATATATATATATATATAATAATAAAACATATTATATTCTTGTATTACGGAAGCAGGGTAATTATATGTCGACTTCGACTTGTTTACATTTCAATACAAAAAGTTATTTCCCATGTCACCCTTTCTTTACAAGGATCAATTTTCTCAAGCGATGTCCATCACATTCCATCACTCGTAAATATTTGTCTGTTCTCTTTAAGTTTCGCCTTTATCAGACATTTGGACTGTTCCCGTACTGCGAGAATCTACTACTTTTTTTTTTTACAATCCCACGGCAGCGGGTTCTACGATACCGGATTGACCCGATTTATTTCGGCCAGCGGCTGCCAACCCAGTTATATATGTTTGTATTGTTTTTCTGTTTTGGGAGCAACATATCCCGGAATGCTTGCTCCGGATTCTTTTGGTCCGTGCCGGGATCGAACAAAACCCCGGACCGTGGTTCTGTTCGGTTTGCCAGAACATCATTCACCACAGGTCAGTGTCGGTGAGATGTAATGGGTGCAGGGAGTGGGTGCACTTCAGGAATTGTTCCGGGTTGGCCCGGTTGCGAGACTACAGCGATAGGGATTACGTTGCCTCGTGCTGCGACAGCGCAATCCCCAGAGAGTCTTCGTCTACGTCGTCGTCTTCTTCGTCGGAGTACGGAACTCCACCGCAGTCTCCTGAACAGCAATCAAGTATGCAGCACTTAACACCGCACGTTGCTGTTCCCACCCCTGATAGTGCATCGTTTCTGCAATTTAATTGCAACGGTCTCCGAGGAAAAATAGATGAGATAGTGGATTTCATGAATCGGAAGAATATTTTGGTCGCGGCGGTGCAGGAAACCAAGCTCAATGAAAATTGTAGCCTACAGCGTTGTGATGGTTACAACGTTCTGAGGAAGGATCGCACCAGAAGTGGAGGTGGAGGCCTAGCATTCCTTATGCACCACTCTGTTCAATACAGGCCTATCTCGCTTGAGCTTGACTCTAGTGACCCATACATGGAATGTATGGGGGTAGCAGTTAAATGTGGTACTGCCGAGGTAGAGGTGCTTAACGTGTATATACCGCCGATTAACAGCTGTGAACCGCGTTATTTGCCCAACATTAGTTTTCTATTGGAGGGCAATAACCGCCTGGTGCTAGGGGACTTCAATGCCCACCATGAGTTGTGGCATTCCGTCCTAGGTAATGACCAGAGGGGATCAGTGCTGGCAGAGCAAATTGATAGCTCCACGTTTTGCACGGTAAATGAGGATGCCCCCACCAGAATAAGGGGAGAGTGTCACAGTTCGCCAGACATAACCATTGTGTCACCGGGTCTGATAAATGACGTCAGCTGGCAGCCCGTCATTTCTCTTGGATCAGACCATCTCCCCATAATCGTCTCCATCAGCAGACCGCCCGATTTCGTCATCTCTGAACGCCGCACTTTCCTTAACCATAGGAAAGCTAACTGGCAAGGTTTCAGAGAGTTCACCAACCAACGCTTCAGAGAACTTTCCATTCCTTCTGATGTACGGGTAGCAGAAAGGAAATTCCGAGGCATCATCACTGCTGCAGCTGCTAGATTTATACCTGCTGGTCGAATACCCGAGATGAGACCCAATTTCCCAGCAGAAGCAGTTGGTCTGGCAAACGAGCGTGATGAGCTCCGTCGATCTAACCCAGCAGATCCCAGGGTCAGGGAACTCACGTTGGAGGTCAGCAGATTAGTCGCGGAGCACAAGCGGAATAGATGGTTGGAGCACCTGAAGAGTTGCAACATTGGTACCGGAGTAAGTAAACTGTGGGCAACGGTTAAGTCGCTCTCGAACCCTGGTAAAAAGGATGATAGGACCTCAGTCACATTTAACGACGAAACTGTGACTGATCCGAAGAGATGCGCAAGTCATTTTAACCGACAGTTTGTCGAGCATCCCGAGAGCGACAGGGCGAAGAGAAGAGTACTTCGTCGTATAAGATCTCTTCCAGCCGAGGAGGTACCACCACAGTTTACGATGGGTGATGTTGCATATGTCATCCGTAACGCGAAGTCATCTAAAGCGTTGGGCCCAGATGGAATATCTATGTGTATGCTGAAGCAGCTGGATGAGCCGGGAGTCGAGTACTTGACCAACGTCCTCAACTTGTCGATAGCCACCCACGTCGTCCCCGAAGCCTGGACTATGGGCAGGGTGGTCCCGCTACTGAAGCCGGGCAAGGATGCCAGCAAAGGTGAATCGTACAGGCCGATTTCACTTTTGTCGCCAGTAGCGAAGACCCTTGAGGCTTTACTCCTCCCCAGCATTAGAGAAAGCTATCCAGTTGCGGATCATCAACATGGATTCCGTAAGCAACATAGTACAACAACAGCGTTGCACGCCATTTCCACGCATATAAGTAGAGGACTTAACCAGAACCGGCCGTGCGATAGAACAGTGTTGGTAGCGCTTGACCTATCAAAAGCCTTTGATACTGTCAGCCATGCCACGCTGTTTGAGGACATTGAGAACACTTCCCTCCGGCCGAGTTTGAAACGTTGGATAATCAACTATATGTGTGGACGCCAGTCGTACGTGGAGTTCCGGAACAAGAAGTCCAAACCCCGTAGAGTTAAACAGGGAGTTCCCCAAGGTGGAGTGATTTCTCCGGAACTGTTTAATCTCTACCTTTCCGGTATTCCACGCCCTCCGGACGGCATAGAAATCGTTACGTATGCAGATGATTGTACGATTATGGCGTCGGGTCCCATTGTTGAAGACATATGTGTGAGGTTGAACGCATATCTCATCGATTTAGCAGCATTCTTCAAAGCGAGGAATATGAAAATATCCGCCTCGAAGTCGTCAGCCACACTTTTCACCACATGGACTGCGGAGATGAGAATGCCGTTGAATGTGCAGGTCGAGGGGCATACAATTCCGACCACCAACTACCCCAAAATACTCGGGGTCACATTTGACAGCATGTTCAAATCGTCCGCGCATACCACAGCTATCTGCGATAAGCTGAAAAGTAGGAACAAGGTCCTCAAGTCGCTTGCCGGCAGCACTTGGGGCGCAGATAAGGAAACCTTGTTGACCTCTTACAAAGCGATAGGTCGGTCTGTGGCTAGCTATGCGGTTCCAGTGTGGTCTGCGAATTCCAGTGATACGCAATGGAGAAATATTCAGACCTGTCAGAATGCCGCCCTGAGGACAGCGACAGGGTGCCTCCTCATGACACCAGTGGACCATCTTCATGAGGAGACGAAGATCCTTCCCGTACGTCAGCATAGCAATATGCTTTCGTTGCAGTACCTGCTTGGGTGTTTCAGGGACGATCATCCCAACCATTACATGGTGGATAGGACTCCCCCGCCCAGGCGTGTCAGGAAGGATCTGCATGATCTAGAGAGAGAGGTCCAACGATACAAAAGGGAGCCTCTAGATCAAGTTGCCTATCGAGCGGGTCTGAATGGCATTCATACAGATGCAGTAGCCGCAGCGCTGAACGGTTACAAAGTGAATGCCGTCCTCGGAGCTCACCCCCCACCCATAGCAGCTGAAGAACGTCAGCTGCCTAGACAAACCAGAGTAGTTCTGGCTCAATTACGTTCTGGATGGTGCAGTCGGCTCAATTCGTATTGGGCACGGATTGATGACCAGGTGCTAAATGTCTGCCCAGCATGTGGTACAGGCCCTCATACCACACTGCACTTGTTCAATTGCCCAGCCAAACCTACTCACCTTACTCCGGAAGATTTGTGGCTACAGCCAGTGGAGGTAGCTGCATTCCTAAATCTGGAGACAGAACTGGAGGAAACATAACAGGAAACATTCAATACATATAACTGCTACAACAACAACAACTACTTTTTACTACGATAACGAATTTTCCTTTATGATATCGGAAAAACTAGTAAAGTCCAGTAAACTCTTGAAGTACGGGTAGAGACCTGTTATTTCGTTCTCTCCCTATTTGTTCAGGTGGAACGTTTTTAATTTCAGTATGTTAAAAAAGCTCCAAATGACACAATAGACTTTTCAATACAAAAACTCGATAAATCGATTAGTCGAAAGTCGATTTACTTCTCCCTAATACATTGTAGAAAAAAGAAAAACAAAAAAATAATTTTCTTGAAAAAGTCAATATATTTATTTTTGTTTTCTAACTCTGGATGTTCTAAATTTTACCATAAAGGTAGGCAGCCGTAAAAATGTGTTAAAATATCGAAGAGTATTCGTTCAATTCCAACAAAAAGGTGTAATTACAGATGTCTTCATTGATTATCTTGAAATCATAAAAAATATTGAATATTGTGTGTGTTAACGTGTACCACCAATGAAATTGTTGTTGTTCGTCCCCAAAAACTTATTTACTGAAATCTAATCAAAGTGTTTTCATTGCATTCTGTGTGTGGCCTATTCACACCTAAAATTTTCCCTGCTCTGTTTGATTACTACTTAAGGTTACAGCACTTGTAATAAGTATGGGAATGTTGATTGTACTGATATGACTCAACCCTTGCTTGCTTTGCTACTTTACTTTCAGCTGATCGACGACAAACAAATACCTGAGGTTAAAACAAGACGAGTTTGACCAGCTCTGTGCTTGCAGTTTCTAACGCGACCCCCAAATTTAACATTTGGCCAGACTATTTGCGTTGACCCCGTTTCTCGGTAAGTGGACGCTAGAGGTGATACGGATCTAAGAGTGCAGATAAGTCAGTTTGTGGAAAATGAATGTTCCACCAATACCACCACTATTATGTAGTACACCACCACCCATCGATTTTGGTGATGACGACGATGATGTTCTACCACCTGCCTTGGATGGAGATGTTGATGAAGAATTTGGAGATTTCTCCGGAGGAGATATGAAATTGGACGGTAAGTTTCGATTTTAAATTTAAAAACAAAATTAACTTATATTATTTATTTTTTCCAGAGCCCCTACCGTCACCCAGACCACCCTCAGTTACAGATTTACCTCCAGTTAGTATCTATGATGGTTTCGTTCCACACGACGACGACACTTTGTTGGGAACAGCAAATGAGCCATCAAAGAAAAGTCCACAAACAACTCCCATAGTGGAGGCATTTAATTACAGTATTATGGAACAGGGAGCAAAAGAATTTACAGAGAAGAGTAAAACTGAAGAGAGCAATCATAATGTAACAACATTTGGTTGTGATAATGAAAACCTAGCAACAACAATTGAAAGTCAACAAGTGGAGTCCACTTTAGAATATCCAGATGATGCGTCTCTTTCAAATGCCAGTCAAATTAATGAAGAAAAAGAAAAGACAATAGATGAACCATCTTTGCAAGAAGATATTAATACCCATATTGAAATTCCTATTAGCAGAGGTGAGGTCTCAAGTCCTCCCACGGCAGATGTACCTCCTCCACCAATAACGAAACTAGAAAGCAATGCCAAACCCACAATAAGTCCCCTAACCAACATAGTGTCAATTGAAGATTTGGAAGATGATCTAAGTGAAGACGAGCTGTACTCGCCCCGTACTCCCAAAAACCTAACTGAGGCTGATGTTACAAGCAATGACTTCTTTAAAATACAAGAAATCGAACACGATAGCAATGTAACGAATGTTACAAAGACCTCCTCCGACACCTATATCTCCAAAAAGTCGCCAGACAATTTTGTCTTTGGAGACATACATGAGCCGCCACCTTTAGATGATGTCCCACCTATAGACGACAATAATGACGTTGACGATGATTTTGGAGATTTTGCAGATTTTCAAGACTTTTCAAGCAATATTACAGCAGCACCAACAACGTTTAATAACCCTGTCTCGCTGGATACTACTCCTGTTGTACCTGTCGCGGAAAGCAAAATTGAACAATGTTGTAATGATACTGAAGACGATTTTGATGATTTTATACAGCACTCACATTCAAGCGAAGAATTTAAAGGAGAACATTACTCTCCTCCACCAATGCAAGAAAACAATCAGGGAGAGAGTATTTGCCCATCCGATGATGATGATTTCGACGATTTTACTTCTGCTTGTGCGGTAAACACAGTGGATCTCGCACAGACAGATGTCAATGAAAAAGTCGAAGCAGGAACAGCGTCCTACTTAGAGGATAAATCAAACGAAGTTGATGACGATAGTTTTGGTAATTTTGATGATATACCAATAGATGCAGCGCCTGCGTTATTTACTGCACACAAATCAGCAGACATCGTATCCAATGAATTCTCCCATAGCCAGTGTGATGAAAACGATGACTTTGGTGATTTTGCAGATTTCAGTGCTCCACCTCCAGTTACTATTACAAATCCTCCCCAAGTCCCTGAAAAAAGTGACCAACAAACGCATAATGAAGTTAAAAAAAGTGATAATGTAGAAGATGACTTCGATGAAGATGATGATGATTTTGGAGACTTTAATACAGCCGAACCAATTACACCACAAATTGATACCACAACTACAAAACAACAAACTAGTCAAGCATTAAGTTCTAATACACCTACTTCAATTCTGCAAACACCCACGAATCTTAATGAACGCATATCAACAATTCTGGAATTGATGTTCTCGACCACTGCATTTCCTTCTAACACACCATCTTCAAATGATAATGACACCGAACTAAAGAAACGGAAAATTCAAGACATTCCCTTCACCTCAATAGATGCTGCCAAAGCTTTAGAATATCAATGGTTGAATTCGGAAACAAGGCATGCTTTTATCAAATCACTGGGTATTGATTCACGAAATATTGTAAGTTACACTTTAGATTTTCCATTTTAAATGTAGTTGCGAATTATTACACATTTTTATCGCTGTCTTTCCTTCCACTGTTTAGCTATACGGTGAAAATTGGAACCCTTCTTTGCCACGTTTCGCTGCTAATTTGAGTTTTAATCCCTTAAAGCCTATGAAACCCGTAAGCTCCAATAGCGGAACTAATTCCAGTACCAATCCTCCTTGTCCACCATCCTTAGATACAGCTCCTGTAGGCAACAAAGATTTAAATAATCCTATAAATGACCATCGTTTAGCTGAAGACAAAAAGGATACTGCAGATCTAAATTGGAAAATGTCATCAACAGAGCAGAAAAGTGAAGGTATGTTTGTTGCTGTCAATGTGAAATACATTTTAGTAAAGCTATGTATTAAATTAATTTGAATTTCTAGCTCTGAATGACAATACAAATGAAGTTCGATTGTCCAACAATACTTCATCAACAACTCAAGTGGCGGCATCTCTGCCGTATGTATCATCTGAACCACCGGAATCGTTGACCATCTTCGACAATCCCTTAGATATTGAGGCAGACAAATTTTCCAAAACACCGCCCATATGCGAAATGGAGTCTGTCAATTCATTCTCTTCGCCAATACCGTCTCTATCGGGCCTAGAAATAGATATGCCACCAATGGTAGCTGCACCCATCGTTAAATCAATGAAGAATTTAGACTTAAATGAACCCGATAATTCAGATGATATCCTCGAAGTTGTAACATCTACAACATTTTCAGGATCTTTCAAAGAAACTCATATCTATACACCCCCCAAAACGCAGGACAATTCCTCATCCACTCCGTCGTCGACTTCAACGACATCGCCAGCCAAGACAAATAATATCGATTTTGATTATGAAAAGGCAGCAATGGGTGTAATAATTGATGAAACTGTTGTCAAGAAGGAGTATCGGGATATCGAATATAACCCACCATTTACCAGGGAATCTCTAACACGCACTCCCTCTCTGAAAACCGAATCTGTGGAAGCATCAAATAACTTGTCGAATCAAACGACCGCAGTAAGCGGTTTTAGCAATGACAATGCTGAGGATGATTTCAATGATGAATTTACTGAATTTCAATCGGTGCCAAGCGTTCCTGCAGCACTACCTATCACCAACGTGTCGTTGGCAAATAACTCGAAACCACCAACAAACACTCAGCCTAATCGTACAACATCGGAAATTTCAAAAACATCCAGTTGCGGCATGATTCTCAGTCCAGCGATTCTAATACCTCAGGCCATCTCGATGGAATCCAATAAACCAAAAATCGAATGGGGGGATTCTACTGCTTCTATAAACCCAGAAGAACTTGCACGTATTGAAGAACTATTCCCGGAACCCACAAAAGTTGTTAAGTCCAACAATACAACAAACTCTTCGCAAAAATCCACACCAACTCACCAGGCGACAGCTCCAAATACAATCAGTGCTACTGTCGCCAATAGGGAATTTGAGGGTATTAACAATGGTGATGACGATGATTGGTCGGACTTTATCTCAGTGCCGGTGGCTGCCAACAACAACAATAATAACACTAAAGCACCACTAACAAACAACAATGCCAGCACAAGGAGTCAAACGAATTCACCATTCAAGCAGAGGTCACCACTTAATTCGTATAAAATGCCGAACTATAATAACTCGTCGACTAATGACGACGAATGGTCTGATTTCGTGAGCAGTGCTCCATCACCAGCAGCACCACAACCTGCTGATATGGCTTCAAATGTGCAGGGACCCCCACCAACGCACAGAGTTCCTCAGTTCAATAGCGGTGCTTGGCAAAATGCAAATTTCTACAACAATCCCCTAAGTTTGTATCACAAGGGTCCGCTTAATCTGCACTCGGGCTCACAACAGTCTCCAAAAACCTACTTAAACAACAACAACTATAATCAATTTCAGACAGCCAACATTGCTGGCCATCAGCAGCAAATTCATGTAATGCAAAATTTCTCCACAGCACCAGTACCTAATGCCACAGCAGATCGACTAGGGAGTTCGGCAAGCAAAGCCTCAAATCAATTCCAAATGGGATCATCGGTCAAGGTGGCACCCAGTATAGCATTAATTCCTGATTTGGGTTTTGTGGCACCCGCTATACCCACACATACCTCATTTATTAATTCATTGCCCAAGCCTAGTATTAATACGAAAAAATGACGATTGCTCAATAGTCAGAATCAGAATAAGGACCAGTCGCAGTCACAGCAGAAGCAAAGTCTGGTAAATTCCCAACAACATTCCCAACGTTCTCAACGTTTTCAACAAATAATGACAACAACGACAACCGTGTCGAAAAACTCTACTTACCGTTCCAACAATGCAAATGTATGTGTGGCTTCAAGTTACAGTGATGATATTTTAATATAGAACCAAATTCCTTTTAACAGTTTTAACCATTTTAGAGTTGAATGTATGTGCGTGCGTACGTGCATACATACAAACGTATGTGTACATTAGTTTAGTTGGTCTAGTATTGTTTGTAGATCGAAAGGTATGTAATTTGATAATAATCGCAATCTGCGGGTATTTATGGGAAAACATTTTTGTTTGTTTTAAATAAAGAAACACTACGAAGTTTGTTTCTTAAAATCCTTTTTTTGGAGCCACTTAATTTGCTTTAACAACTTTTATGTTGCCAATTCCTAAAATAGATCCGCAGGCTAATACAAAATTGTACTTAATAACAATATGGACATTTCACAAGGAGAAGCTTGTGGTAGAAACAGTGAGGTATTCCAATTGATGTTCATACCACATTATGGTGGTACGTGTGACACTTTTTAGGGATGGAGTTAGTCGTGTAGCTCACATATGGCTATTACATTTAAACTGTACCAACTTGTATTATGTAGCACAGAGTATTTGGCTAGATATTATTCACTCATAATATATGGATTCTACGTAATTTCCCAACTCTAAATTTGAAATGTCCATATTTAACAGAAATACTTACAGCTGACATATATGGTATTTATATTTTATTCATCTTGTTATAATTTTTAAGTTTAGAAACAAAATAGATTTGTATATACTATAAATATTTTGAAATTATTAAACTTATCTACACAAATTAGAACGCATGTGTTTCTCTGAGTGTTTCGTTATTATTTTAGTTATAATTTTTTCTCTTGTTTAAGCGATTATGCGAATTCAAAACGAACGAATTATTTTATGTTGTTGTGTTTACATTATCTCTGAGTTATAAAGTAATACACATATATAATGAAAAAAATCAATCAATAACAACTAACCCAACATACTATTACAAAAGAAAATATATATAAAAACAAGATATTGTTATAATAAATTTAAAATAATTTGAAGAAAAATCGTTTTATTTTATTGTTTTATTTTATATCTAATTCAATAATCAATTTATATCTAAACATATTTGTGTGTACATTCACCGGATCCCAAAATATTATATTCCGATTTGTTGGCAAATGGATCTATTAATGTGTGCGTGATATCATTGTGTATATTAGTTGTATCATATTCGATTGTGTTTCTATACGGCTCTATATAATTATCACGAACTTCGGTAGTCATGCCAGTATTTGGTACAGCTTTAACGAGGCTAGGAAATTCACAACGTCGTTTTACACATTCATTGGATTTTAATTTATCACACTGCTGTGGATCTTTGTCAGGGAATACCTTTTTTGTACGATTTTCCATTTCTTGCCAATTCCAAAAGGTTATGTTATCTTTGGCGGCAATACCGCTCATTATATCCTGCGGACTTCTGTGGCAATAATCTAAACGAGATGTGGTTGCTGCAGTATCTAAATACTTAGAATAACCTGGTTTGGCACGATCTATTGAAATTTTCGTGGCTATCACGGGTGTGGGTAAATGCAAGGAAATGGGAGGTTCTTTGATTGGTTCAGTATTCCACAAATAATCCGTATGTGAAACACTGGCAGTCGGAACCATTGGACGCTGTAGAAATTTCATTTTACACTCATAAAAGGGTTTAATACCGTCCAACTTGGCTATGGTTGGATTACGAACTTCATTGGGATCGCCAAACTGAAATGAGCAAAATAATATATTATTGTAATAATGTGATTCTTTGTTATCACAAATACCTTCCATGTATAGTTTGTTTTGTAATCACTTTGCCTATGCATTGCCAGGGTAACATCCTCCTTATATGACGGAGTTTCTTTAAATTTACAATCAATTGTATTGCCCAGCATTGTATCGGTCATATATTTATTTCCGAAATATGTTGATGTTCTCATATCCTGTTGCTTATTTAGTGGTTGTTGATAATCAATGAAACCGAATTCATTAAGTTTATGAGATTGCGGATTTGTTGATGGCATTTTAATGAAAATTTTTTTATTGATGTATGTACGTAAGAAAAATATTTCTCAAAATCAATTACAAAACAAAATAGAAGCTGATATTTAAATTAAGTTCCCAGGAAACCAATGTAGATTATTTACAGGTAATTCATTGTTTATTGTTACTATGATACCTACAAAAACAACAGTGCAAATTAAGTATCTGGACAGTTTGAAAATGCATTTTAGAATGAAAATATATCTCTTTATGGACTTGTAATCTATACTAATAAAAGAGTAAAGTGATTGACTGACTGGCTGATTTAACGATTCATCAACGCCCAGACGAAACGGCGGAAGCTAGAATCTTGACATTTTGGGTGAGGGTTATTCTTGGTCCAAATGTGACAGATAAGGCTGGGTTTTTGGAAATTCGTACCAGAACGGTACGAAAAGTACTAAAAAGTACTTAATGTGATACCATTTGTATTTGGCGAACCGGTGGAGCTAGAACTTTGAAATTTTGTTTGGTGGTTGTTGATGGAGTGTAGGATAGATGTACCAAAGGGTTTTTGGAAATTCGAACTATAATTATCCGAAAAGTACGAAAATGTACTAAATTTGGTAGAGCGGGAACAATGAAATTTGGAGTCAGGATCACTGTAGGGGTATGGGATTGGGGTCAGGATTCAGTTTACGAGAATAATACTTATGGGTACTAAATGGTACTAAATTTGGTACAATTTGTATTTTAGGTGAACCAATAGAGCTAGAATAATGAAATTTGGAGCCAGGATCACTGTTGAGGTGTAAGATTGAGATATGTAGGAAGTTTTAGAAATTTGTACTAATGTGTACTAAATTTAGTACAATTTGAATTGTGAGTGAACCGATAGAGTTGGAATCCTGAAACTTGGATTTGGGATCACTGTGGAGGTGTAGGGTTGGGGTATGTAGGAAATTTTAGAAATTTGTACTAAGTGTACTAAATTTGGTACAATTTAAATTGTGGGTGAAGCGATAGAGTTGGAATCCTGAAATTTTGATTTAGAATCACTGTGGAGGTGTAGGATTGGGGTATGTAGGAGGATTTGGAAATTGGTACTACTATGTAATAAATTTAGTACGATTTGATTTTTTGGGTGAACCAAAAAAGTTGGAATATTGAACTTTTGATTTATCAACACTGTGGAGGTGTAGGATTGGGGTATGTAGAAAGATTTGGAAAATTGCTACTACTATGTACCGATAGAGTTGGAATCCTAAAACTTGAATTTAGTATCATTTTTGGGGTGTAGGATTGGGGTATGTAGGAAGTTTTGGAAATTGGTACAATTTTAATTGTGGGTAAACCGATAGAGTTGGAATCCTCAAATTTTGATTTAGGATCACTGTGGAGGTGTAGAATTGGGGTATGTAGGAAGTTTTGGAAATTCGGACTACTGTGTACTAAATTTGGTACAATTTTAATTGTGAGTGAAACGATATAGTTGGAATCCTGAATCTTGGATTTAGGATCACTATGGGGGTGTAGGTTTGTGGTAAGAAGGAAGTTTTAGAAATTCGTACTACTGTGTACTAAATTTGGTACAATTTAAATTGTGGGTGAACCGACAGAGTTGGAAATCTGAAACTTGATTTTAGGTTAACTGTGGGGTGAAGGTTTGGGTTAAGTAGGAAGTTTTGGAAATTCTTACTACTGCGTACTAAATATAATACAATTTGAATTGTGGGTGAACTGGTAGGGTTGGAATCCTGAAATTTGAAATTTTGTGGCGTGTAGGATCGGAGTATGCAGGAAGTTTTTTTGGATCATGGAGGTGGGTACTTATGGAAATAATATTTGCTAAATGGAACTAAATTTGGTAAAATTTGGATCTGGGTGAACCTTTAGAGCTCGATTCGTGAAATTTGGAACTCAAATTAAACATATGATCGATATTAATGTCTCGATTGTTTAGTTTTTTTTTTACATATTCTGTTTTCTGTGAAAATAAAATAATATGTTAATACATGCTTAAGTATTTCCCACATTCGCTAACGAAGTAGCGGGCATATGCTAGTATATTATAAAGAAAATGACATAGAATTAAAATCTGTCTTAGTAAAGCATAGGATTCTAGAGGCTATTTAAGAAACATTAGAAGAGGCAATAACAAACAACTACAACAAACAACAATATTAATCGAGTGAAATTCTATAAAATCCTGTGTTTTTTAATTCCATTCATTGTTGTTTTGAATCGATCTAAATTTGTTTACATAAAAAGGGGAATATCAATAAGATTTTTTTTTTTAATTTAGCTGTTAATTTATTATTTAAACAATACGAAACTATTTCCAAATGTATTCATTTAATTGAGTTATTTTCGTTGAGAAGATGATGATCGTACAGCCATGGGCTACAATGAATCATCCATTCATTCATTAATATGCCAAAGAATGATGAACTGAACGTAAAATAATTTTTAAGTCAAGTTTAAAGTCATCGCTTGTTTATACAAGTGTTTAGCAATCATTTGTGCATACATATACATACGTAACATATTAATTGTATGCTCTTCGCCGAAATGTAATGCGAAGAAATGCATGAAAATATTATATTGTATTAGTGCATTTGTTCGTTAAAAGGAAAGGAAATAAGATGTACCAATAAGTACCGTCTGCCTGTCCATCTATTTTTGTAAAAATTGAAAATGCAGGTCGCATTTTTTCGAATCGATTCAAGTTGAACTCCCTGTGAAATGAAATTTATCATGAACTACAATGACAAATGATGAGTTTAGTTCAAATCGGTTCAGATTTAGATATAGCTACCATATATATTTTCGTGTCATTTCATGACATTGCGTCTGTCCGATTAAAACGCAATTCTGAATTCACTTAGATATAGTTCCAATATATAATTTAGATCGATTTGATTTGATGATGTACCAAACACACATCTACAGTGTGTCAGAGTCAAAAGTATCCACTTGTTTTTTTATAAATAAAATGCTAATGAATTAAATTTTATTCATGGACATTTTAAATTATAATTAATGAATTATGTGAATTCAATATAAAAAATATTGACTGTTAAACAAAATCAATTACAATCTCACAGTAAAAAGATAAAAGTTTTTTAATAGTTAATAGTATCTCTTACAGCATTTCATCTTTCCAGCATAGATTTGACCATGTCTTCCGTTCCCCATTCCCCAGTTTCTACCCATTCTACTTAAAAAGCAGTTTTCAAACTTGGTATGCTTAAGATGTTATGGGTTCTAATATTTTTCTCCAGAATACTCCATAAGTCCTCTATAGGATTCAAATCCGGGGACTGAGGAAGTATTTAAATTACTTTTGGACAATCACAAACCAACGTTTTGGACTTGTGTTTAGAGTCATTATTTTGATAAAATTGAAATGTTGTCCGCAATGCCAATTTTTCAAACAAATTAAATTTGGTTTTATCAGCAAAAATAACAGATTTCCAAAATGCAAAATCCTCTTTTTTCGTGTTCCTGAACGAAATCCAATCGGATTTACCGGTTTTTTGGGTGTATGAATAACTTTTTCAGTTCAACTCTACAATGGCGAAATTCTTCGAATTGTTCTGGGTTACATTTCTTTTCCACATATTTCTCTACGATTTCAGCAAGTTTAGGAGCACTAAGCTTTGGATTATCGGCCACTTGTCGGCACAACCTCTTTTCGTCTCTTATATAGAATATTTTTTTTTCTCCATGGTTTCCGGATTGTTGAAAATTCGATTCTCTGGTTTGTGCCTCAATATAATTTTTTGAACATCAGATCCGTTGAGATTTTTCTTAATTTCCGTTGAGATTTTTCAGTATAGTGACCTAATTTTAGGTCGGATGCAATATTTAACTTGGTATTCGATGAGTTTATAGACTTTTAACCGTTATTAAGTTGTAAATAATACCGGTGGGTACTTTTCACTGTGAGATTGTAATTGCTTTTGCTTAACAATAATTTTTTTTATAAATATTGGCTATTTTATTTCAACAATTTTAAGTTAAGAAGTTTCTGGAAGAGAGCATATATGCAAGTGATACAAACAGAATTACTGTGTTCAGCAGTGCTGCTATTATTTCTTTCACAACTGTATGCTTGTTTTCACAACTACCCACCTCAACAAACATAACACATTTATTGAGTAACGTAGAATACAAATCGTTACCGTCATCAATGGCTATGTTTTGTTGTATTTTTTGAAATATCAGTCAATCGTTATCTTTCGGATTTACTATTTACATTTGGTAGTTGTTGTTCTCTATTTTAAAATGTATCTCATATATACAATTTAACTTCGTTCAGATACATTATGTTACTCTCAATTTACCTACACACACACCATTACATTCGATATAGGCTCCACCACCATGGTGAGAGCAATCGGCATTGTGTGGCTGAATGAGCTCAAACTTGTTGCCGTTGTTACCAGCATTTCCAGTTGGCGGCGAGTGGTGAACATCAGTTATAGCTGAATATTTGGAAACGCCAAACGTGTTTTTGTATCCGATGAATGCAACTTCACCTACTTTTTGACTTTGTTTTGATTTCGATATTTTGTTTTGATATTTACCAATAAACAAAAGTGAACGAACGACCAACAACGGAACAACGTTACTAGAAACATGATTATCTTGTAAGAAAAGTAAAAGCGTTAATGAAACCATAAAAATAAAAAAGAAATACGGAAAACAAAATAACTGTAGCAAAATATTCTGAAACTGTGAAGCAACTTTTTGTTGTTTTTAGATGAGTAGTGACTAATACAACAACTGTACTACTGCCGCTGCTGCTGCATAACAAACAGTAAATTCACGAAAACGTTCAAAAATGTCTTATAGCACCGAAAGATCATTGGCTTTCCTATATACGCTGGTGATTGTCTCCTCGGTTATTTGCTGTGTTACCGCTGGCATTGGCTGGTCCCATTGGCGCTATGTCTTGAATGCTTGTCCCGAAACCAATTGTGGTTGCTATTTACATGCTCGCTCCACCTACACCTCCTTTGAAGGCGGCCACATTGCGTATTGCCATTATGCTACCTATGGTCTGATATTACCGCTCTTGTTTTGTACCGTTTTGGGTATTTATCATGTGTATCGAGTTTGTTTGGGTACGGGCAAGAGGAGAACTGGAACTACCACTATTAGGCAAAGGTAAGTAATAATGAAATAGAAGAAGAGATGCACAATAACAAAACAGCCTGTAAGAGTAACAATATTAATCGAAATATGAAATTCGATCAGCATTTGTCTACACCATTTCCAATAGAAATTAAGAGTGAGTTTATATTACTATAACAATTTAAAAGATCAGTTGGTAAAGCTTAATTAAAAAAAATATGGGTCCACTTTTTCTTTCAACCTCCATACAGAAATATTGGCATACTTTTTGTTATTATTGAAGGGATTTAAGATATTAGTTAAGATAGAAGAAATTGTAGACGATTAGAAATTTATCTTCGTAAAATGTCTATAGCAGAAACTGCAATAATGTACAATATTTTACTACTATAACAATATTACCTTTATGATATCGAAAAAAAAATAGCAGACTCTTCAGCACGGGGACAGACCATATACAAAATAATAAAATCAAGAAGTTTTCACGTTTGAATGGACCGAAATTATATACCCTTCACCATGAAATGGGCATACAAATAAATAAAAACCGTCGCTGCCCTACAACATAAATCATCAAATCATACACTCCGAACATGGCACAATAATAAAGATAGATTTAGTCGAAGAAATTCATAAAAACTGTAGTCTAGTGTAATGTCCTATAATGTCATATTTACATATTTGGCATAGTTTTAAAATTTTAAATAAGAAAAATATAGTTTTTCACAATAGTGGGTTGCAAATATGATTATTACAATATTTCTTTCCAAAACTCTGAAATAGTATTCTCTCGTATGCTGTAAATATTTATTTATTTTTTTTAATATTTTTAAGACATTACATACATATGTACAAATTGAGTTTTTGGTTAAACATAACCTCAAGAAAAAATTGCAATCAACATGTACTATTAGCCTACTTATTGTATTGTACCATGCCTACAACATACTAGAGCTATAGAAATACTTCAAATAGGGCGGGGCATTCCAAATTTAGCGACTACTTTATATTTTCCCATTTCTACTTTGTTCCAGAATTTTGGTAAATCTTAAAGAATTTGAAATTTTCTTAAATGTTTCACTTATAAATTTAAAATGTTAATACATTTAAACATCAAGTTATATATATTTAGATGCCTTTGGCTAGATTCCGTATAAAAATTTTTAAAAGAAAAATACATTTGTCAAACAAAAGTTTATATACATATGTATTTCAATTGTATACATCATTATTATTTAAACAATACAAATTCGTTGTTAATAGATGGCGAATATTGGTGTCTGTCATTATGCATGAGCTGGGCTTCGTTCAATTGAACGTATGACTGTATTCTAAGCATTGACCAGAGGTCACCATTCATTACTTAAGAGTGCAGAGGCAATTTGTTATTTATGATTCATATGTAGTAATTTTTAATTTAATTTATTTGTAATACTAAAATTGGACATAAGAGAGAAATTATGAAAATTTTCTAAAACACAAATTTAATGAATAACCATGAAATGGTTGTGGTCAAGAAATATTTCATAAGCATATTTTTGTTATTAAGAATAAAATTTACTGAGGGCACATCTTAAAACAACAATGTAGGGTATCTTGAGGTTAATATGAAAAAATATCTGCAGGTTAGACTTAGTTTCTTCATATATACATATAAATAAAATCCACAATTTTTTGTATTATGTAACAAATCATGTAGCTATACCAAACCTTGTAATAATTGCAATGTATAAAAAATTTATAATTAACAAATTCCCGAACCAACACTACATGATTAAACTTAAAATTGAAGTTAATACAAACATGTATGATATTCATTCTTTTTTATAATTTACAGATCTGGTGAAGTGGTTGTTGTCACTACCGAATCCGATGTAAAAGATGACGGTATATCGCCGTATTATTGGCTGCCAACAAGTATTATAGCAACGATTATGGCTCTCTATACATTGGTATATGCCTCAGTTTATACCGATGGTTTTGAGGTGACATGCAAACAATATCGAGAAGCTCTGTTGAAGGAAATCCAAGGCGTGGGCAATATTGTACCAGTTATTAAGGGACGGCTTTCATGTTCAGCAATATTTGATTTTATGGTAATATATACATAATTAGTATGTACTATAACATAATAATAATTTTTAATTCTTTGTTTTTAGGATTATTTAGTCGAAAGCATATCCTATGAGAGACGTCGTTATGGTCGCATCAATAGTTCAATTTGTTTCCATATGACATTGATATTTGCTTGGTTGGCGGTATTTGGTTGGATTGTTATTGCTGTCATCAATATTATACAGACGCGAAAAACGAAAGCAGCTCGAGTTTAGTTCGCAGAGAGACATACACATATATTTTTTTTAGGTTTAAGAGATGCCATTATTTTGTACAACACCTTTTTATTTGTATTTATAGTTGCTATTTATATTAAGCAAGTTACACGACATAAATTATAATTTGAACTTTTTAACGAAACATTTTAATAAAATAATGTTGATATAAACAAATATATATTTTATATATTTAACGAGAGGATAATGACAAAGTAAAATGTAATTAGGTGGGAAATTTCATAAAAATTATCACATAACTTAATTAAAATGTACATCGTTGCCATGACAGATGGATCTACCATTAGAAACGACCCAATTCGGCTAACATATGTCATTTCAACCTATACTACAACAATAATAATCAAGGTGTAGATTTTAAATAATTTATTCTTAATTACAAGGGATTCTGAGTGATTTTTAATTCCTACTTGTTTAGTATAAATGTTTCATGTTGTAAGCGAACGTTTTTCTAACAAAAATAGTACAACACATGGTACAATTATAGACGTTAGGGTATATTTTGTCAACAAAGATTGAATACAACTCTTCCTTGTGGCCTATTATGTCAAACCAAAAATTCGTTCTGTTTATTTGTCATCTTTTTTAAATTTTGCTAAAAATGCGAAAAATAAATGGAATGTCAGTTTTTCTTTTCAAAATCGAATTGGAAAATATAATTTTGAATTCAAATTGAAAATACTTTTTTATAAATTTTTGAAAACATTACGCATATATTAACATTGTATATGATTTGACATAACAGGCCACAAAAAGAAACATTTTAACTTGTATGTTGTTACCAAATAGTACTGTATGTTACACTTAGTACTACATTGTTAATTCTGGAACACTACTTATATACAGAATCTAGTTCATAAGCTCTTTTCAGTGAATCGTTCAATTGAACGTGTTCGTTCCTGAACTACACCACCCTACTTTCTACTGAGGTGTCCAGATCAAGAAGACCAGAAAGATGACCCATCCACTGGAAAATAAAGATCGTCCCCGCAAATATCCATTCATCAATATGAAAATTGATGATTACACAATACTGGACACCATCGAGGGACGTTTCAATTGCTCCCAATGCCTGCGCTCACGTAAATTTTTCTGTTACAACTGCTACATACCTGTTGGGAATCTGGGCGAGATTATACCAAAAGTGCGGATACCCCTCAAAATAGATATAATTAAACATAAGAAGGAAATCGACGGAAAAAGTACGGCCATCCATGCTGCCGTTTTGGCACCGAATCAAATTCAAATTTATACATATCCCGATATACCAGACTATAGCCAAGAAGAAGGTGTAGTACTTATTTTTCCGAGTGTGGAAAGTGTAACGGTGGCACAACTATTCGAACGTAATGTAAGGCTGTGTAAGGAGAATAACTTCGGTTATCCCAAAGGACATAATGTGGGGACATTGCTGAAGAGGCGAGTGGACGAAATTGTCGAGGAAATACAAGAAAGTACAGATGAACACTTGGGGCGAATATACACATATGACAATTTGCCAATTAAAAAGGCGGTATTCATTGACAGTACCTGGAATCAAAGCAGAGGCATTTATAAAGATGAGCGTGTGAAGTCACTGAAACCTGTTATATTACAGAATAGATGTTCACAATTTTGGCGTCATCAAAAAGGTAGTCCTCGCTGGTACTTGGCTACCTTGGAAGCGGTGCATCAATTTCTATTGGAAGTGCACGTCAATGCTTGGGGATTGAATAAACACTATAGAGGACTAGATAATTTAGAAATATGTGAATCGTTTTATAAAACTGCGAGACTTGTGGAAGACACTGAAGATAATGTAGATCCATTAGCCCCGTATAATGGTCAATATGATAATTTAATGTATTTCTTTGCCAATATGTATGACTTAATTCATAAATATTATGATCATCATGAACTCAAGTCGTATAGAAGACCTATATGAAAATAAATATCCGTACTCTAAATGTGTGTAATCGAAAACATATTTGTTTATAAATACAACAGAGGTGACCAAGAAATCCTACAAAATATAGGCTAAAAATACAAACGAATGAACAGCTAAGAGGTTTTACATTTCAAGTCTAAAATATATTTCAGATCAATTGTAAGATTGAATCTAACTACAAGAGTACTGATTACTATCTTGACTACAGAAGACATGGAAATATTACTCACATATAAATGTGCAATCGTGTTTATATTTTATTTACTGAGATATATCGTGACCATTTATATTACTAGGGAATGCATTATTTTAATGATGTCTAAACTACTTCTTCTTTTTTTGTTTGTTTTCATCGCCGTTGTTTCCGCCACTCGATGGTTCAGGTTTGGGTTTTTGCCAGTGCAAGGGATTGCGTCTGTACATAGGCCATGGGGGAATTGTCAACTGCCACAAAAATAAGTCATTAGTAAAATTCTGCCGATATCAAATATCATTGTACTTACCAATGATGCCAAAACGAACCCAGCTCCCAAGGTGTAAACAGTTTGGGAGAATTGTTGTGTGATTGCTCCCAAAATTAGACCAACGACGCCAAAAAGGGTGATGATAAAGCGAGAATACATCTCAGCTTTGTGCTGGCCCACAAAATCCTAAAGCGGAGTAAAAAGTTGCACATGTTGTAATTGCAGATACAAATTTGTTTGAAAATTGCTTACCATATGCGTCTGTATATTTAAATTCAACATTTTTGCCTAATTTTTCTTTACTTGAACGATTTTTGTGGTATTTTGTGGAAAATAAACACGTCTGCAAATTGCGGCTGTCAAATAATTAGAGTTGGGTAGTTCCGGAACGAACTAGTTCATTGGAACTATTCCGAGAAAGGAACGAACGGAACTAGTTCCAGTTCTTTAATTAATATAATTTCTTTCTCTGATCCAGTTCCTTTTTTGAACTATTTAAAGCAAAGGAACTATATGGAGCAAAGGAACTATTTGGAGCATAGGAACTATAGGAACTATAAAGAGCAAAGGAACTATATATGGAAAAACGAAAAAAAAATAATAAAAGAGAGAGAGAGAGAGAGATTCAAAAGAACAGTGGGAAGCCTCCAAGACTCCAGCCTTCATAAAATTCGCTTGTTAATCGTCGTTCTGCCAAGACTCAAGCGACGTCGTACGCAAACCTTCGCCAACAAATGGTCTGTTCCAGTACTTTTTATACCCTCCACCATAGTATGGAGGGTATATTAATTTTGTCATTCCGTTTGTAACTCATCGAAATATTCATTTCCGACCCTATAAAGTATATATATTCTTGATCAGGGTAAAATTCTAAGACGATCTAGCCATGTCCGTCCGTCTGTTGTAATCACGCTATCTTCTGAAGGAATTGAGATGGGGTGCTGAAATTTTGCATAGGGTTGTCTTTTGTCTGCAGGCAGGTCAAGTTCGAAGATGGGATATATCGGTCCACGTTTAGGCATAGCTCCCATATAAGGGTACCCCCCAATTTTCGGTATTTTGGGGTTCTTGAGCGCGTTTTTCAAGCGAATTTGTAGTAAATGTATCCACAAAAAATTATAAATATTGGTCCACTTTTTCTTGTAGCCCCCATATAACGGTACCTCCTAATTTTCAGTATTTTTTGGGTTTTTATCGTATTTTTCACCGAATTGGCTGTAATTTAGTATTTTGAGTTCTTAGCAGGTACCAAATCTCTCCACAAAAAAATTTAAATATAGGTCAATTTTTTCGGATATCCCCCATATAAGGGTACCCCCCAATTTCGGTATTTTGGGGTTCTTGAGCGCGCTTTTCAACCGAATTCGCTGCAATTTTGTCGAACTTAACGCTTTTCCACTTGTTTAATAGTAAAGCTAGTAAAAGGGAAACATTTCAAGTCTCAGAGTACAAAATAATTTGAAAAGTTCGGGAACGCAAATCTAGTAAATATGCCAATATTAGATGGCAATACTTCAAAATCAACATAACAAAAAGTTTACAAAGAGAAAGCCATTTTGTTTTGTGCTCTCTTAAATTTGATTCAATGCTTTACCAGTTTTATGGGTTCAGGAACGGTTTTCGAGTAAAAAGTTGCAAAACTTGTAAAATTAGTAGATTCTTTTAGGTTTTGGAACGGAGCTAAAATAAAAACGACGACTGAAAAAATTGAAAAACGTTCCACCTGCTAACGAATGGGAGGAGAAGACAAAATGGCCGATAAAGATGAACTCAAAATGGTATAACCGAAAGTTTACGAATGAGGTGGGATAGAGACTAAATGGAAACCGTGTTGTTTACGAATGAGGTTTAGGCAAATTATGATTAGGGATAAGTAAATCGACTTTCGATTAATCGACTTTTTGTATTGAAAAGTCTAATGCCATGTACAGACGAGCGTTGTTCCCTCTCTCATTCGTGGTTCGACTCTTAATTATGAAGTAATTACATAGTTCAAAGGAACTACATTAAGGAACTAGTTCCTTTTTAAAAAAGAAACAAGAATGATCGATCCGCTACGTGAACTAGATTGCCCTCTTGTTGTACTTAGGGATGAGTAAATCGATTTTCGACTAATCGATCAATCGAATTTTTGTATTGAAAAATCAAAAAGTCGAAATCGACTTTTATTTTTAAGGAAATCGCAAAGTCGAATTTTCAAAATTGACTTTCGATTTTCCTTTAAATACATGCAGTCTTATTCTGGATGCCAATTCCACGTGAATCCACTCGCTCTTCCCCTTCGACTTATTCTGAACAACATTTCCCAGTGATTTTTTTCGCATTCTCGCTGTCGCCTTATTCTGAATGAAGTTCGAAAAAATCCCTTTTGGGGAAAAATTAAGGGCTAAGCAGAATGCTTGCGTTGAGCCATCCGTCGCGTTATATGTTATCGAAAATACAACATGAATCTTTTTTCAACCACCATTTTCGAAAATTCGAATGCGCATCTCGCATCATAGGACTTTTATTTAGCAAATATCCAATGGAGGTCTTCTATGTGGAGATGATCCTATATAATTAATCAACCCATAGAATAGATTAATATACAAAATTTAAAGAAGATCTTCTATCTAAAAAGGCTTGGAGAAGTCATTTTATATATTCAAGACCTAGAAGAGTCTATCGATGAATTAAACCTGTATGTGATCTGAAGAGAAACCTAAAATAATCGAAGGATGTCTTTATCTAGAAAACGTCAAAAAGAAAAAGGATTCAAAGGATTCACTTCATATACTGAAGACCTGCAGAAGAACATAAACTGAAGATCTACATATTGACTGTAGGAAGTATTCTATCTAGGAAAACCAGAATACCTAACATGCGATTTCAAGGAGGACTTACAAGTTCCTCCGTTTATAGGAGTTTTTCTTTAGAAAATATCCGTAGAAAAGATCCTAACTAAATATCCTAACCATAGAATAAATGAAGTATCCCTTATAAGTAGAAAATCTAGAGGAGGTCCTCTATCTATAAATAGGTAGGAGGAGGCATTCTATATATTCAAGACCTGGAAGAAAACCTGTAAGAGATCTGACCTATCTATAGGAGGACATTATTTTAAAAATGTCCCAAGAAGACCTGATGGACCCCTATATATAAAATACCTGAAATGGGTATTCTATCTACAGATGATCTCTAGGTGTTATTATGGAAACCCTTAAAACATATATTTAGATTCTTTATCTAGAGAAGACCTGAAGATCGTACTATATAGATAACTTGAAGGAAGGCTTATACACAAGTTTCTGTCAATAGAAGACCTGAAATGCGAAGATTAGGTATCCAGAAGCACCCTGAGAATGTCTTCTGTCGATAAAAGTCCTGTAGGAGACTTAAAAAAAGACAAAGTTGTTTTGTTTACGCTACCACCAACCAACAATGATAGACGTGTCGAATTGGTAATATCTCGCAAGGCTTCTGCAACAACGTCGTCGTCTTCCTCTTCATCCTCCTACAAATTCCTCTATATGATCTAAGTCAATTTAACTTTGATTTTCGGATTCTTGGATATTCTGTATTAATTTATTTCTATTGTAAGAAGCCGCTATTTAATAACACATTAATTAATCCTAAAATACTCCAAAAATGAAAAAAGTTGATATATCCGGAGATATTTTATAAATGTTATGTTGAATCTATAATGTTTAATATTTTGTCATGGATTCCTGAAGTATAGCATCCAATTTCATACAATAAAATGTTTTGTTCTTATATTAACCCTTTACGGCCCAATGTTGCCCACAGGCAACAACAATTTTTATAGCTTATATTTAATACTCAGCTAGTAGATATATATTCTTTGGATTTCATATGTCAAGACCTGATTATGGACGACACATATCAAAATAAAAATCAAAAAATTCAAAATTTGTGGTTAAATTATGAGCTTTTCAATATAGAGAATAGGGTCAAAATGTGTACAGTACTAATTTGTGTATACAGTACCAATTATTTAAGTCGCTTCGCATTCAAATTGTACGAATTCTGTCATCAGAATTATTTTTGATTCTTGTAAAAGAGAATATTAAGAATAATTTAAAATGACTTTTCCGTCGATTTTCTTGATATTGTGTTTTTTTTTTTCAGAAAGAAGGCTTTTCTCCCGAAAGCAATGATGTAGCGATGACAAATTTTGTTCATATCTTATTTATCTTATTTAGTTTAGTTGCATTAAATTTGTGAACAGAAAAGTTAGGGTTAAAAAGTCAGAGGAGATTACGCCCTCTATATTTCAGTAACAACATTACATGTCCACCTTGTATCAGCGACATAAACCAAATATATACTCAAAGTTGAACTCGAGATGTCGGTGTAATATAATAACACGACATAATAGTTGTGTTCCTGTACGCACAAGCACCCGCCCACAACTCTTACAATTTTTATGAGTAAAGCATTTACGTACTTAAGAACTAAAAAAGAGTTACAGAGGGAGTGACGAAAATATGAAATAAAAAGTTTTCAAATGGAATACATGATTGGTAACGTCTGATCGACTTTTGTGTTCAATTTGTGGAGCAAGGTAGATATATTAATATACATTTCACTCTAATGTTTAAATATTTGTCGGTCTCCGTATTTTTACGTGCATATTTGCAGTCTATATATGAATTGTGTATTTTATTTCGATGATATCATCCTAAGTTTTATATTTTTATTTTCCCATTTAGTCATAACACAACATCATTCTATTACGATGAAAACACAAAATATACTTTAGATTTCTAATTAATATGGGTGTATATTTTAGTTATATTTATACTTTTCCAATATAAAGCAAATTTTCAACATTGATGATATTTTCTTTCTCATCATTAGAACATTAATCGATATATTAAAAATAAAAAGAAAGTGCTTTCGCTTGAAGTTGTAATTAGTTTTTCATAATTCTTACAATGGAATTATATATGTATATGTTTGTCGTTCTTGGGAAACGTCAATAAACAGAAGACTTAAGCGACATCACAAATCATAGGAGAATATTTAGAACGCAAAGGCGTGCATGCATTTTCTGAAGAAAACTGATGCAGAATATATATTTAATCGTCATCCTGTAATTCCAAGAATTGGGTACAAACATCTCGACTGCATTCACCTTTGCTATTGAACAGGAATTTATAGTAATGGCCATCGGCACAAATAGCTGTAATAAAATATTTAAATGATGAACATTGAATTTAAATTTGTAACTTGTTAAAAAAAATTACCTATTACAGAATTAGAATCTGAGCCAAAAGCACAAATACATGGTGGTTCTTTTGGTATGGAAAATTTAACAAAACTCCACTGACTGGAAAAGTACTTGGGAACAATTGGTAGAGATGATTCTTTTGGCTTGGTATCATCCAAATTGAACACATGTATGGTGCCATGATCGGATGATACCACCAACATTGTGGAGGCATGGTTGAAATTAATGCAATATATTGTGGCCTGGTTACTGCCGCGTCGTAGTTCATTGACTTTTTTGCCAGTTTCTGTGTCAAATATGCGTATTAAAGTACCCTTTTCACTGGCTGTGGCCAACCTGGTTCCTTGTAGATTGAAAGCAATGCAGCAAATGTTCGCTTCGTGTGCTACTATTTCCAGAGCAGCTCTTTCTGTATTGCCCAAATCAACGATCTGAAAACAAAAACATAGTTTCAATTGCAAATGTGTGTTGATATGTATTGTTGATGCTCCTCACCTGTACATGCCCGGTGCGACGGGCTGGGAATGCCAACAAACTTTTATTACTATGCGGACACAAAACACACAAACCATGAGGATTGGAATTTGTCTCAAAGACATGTAATTGCCGGGGTTGTTGGGTAAACGTGAAGACCTTTATAAAACCCGCAAACACAACAACGATACGGTCCCGTCTTAAGCGAACAGCCTTAACTGGCTGATTAAAGTCTAAGGAAATGGCTGGGGCTTTTTTGAGGTCATCCCAGATAATCAGCTTATTTGGTGGGTACAATGGGCGTATTCCACCACCAACAACAGCCAAATAATTACAGCGAAACAGCATCTCAACATAGCTGAGGCCCCCTTCTGGATAATATTGCCGTTCTTTTTCCTTCAAAGGATCACTATTGAAAACACGAAATCCCGAATCCGTGGCACAGGCGAAACAACCTTAAATAAAAAAATCATCAAAGCCGCGTCCAAATCATTGAAAATGAAGTGGTAACTTACCTTGATCTTGATTAAATCCTACATATTGCAATCCATTTCCATAGGGATTATGATCCACCAAATCCATGACTTTCCTTTTTGCTAGGTGTCTGTTGTTTTTTTTTTGCGTACTTTTGTTGTTTTATCGATTATAGGTCAAATCTGAAATTCGCTTATATTTTGTTTGAAACCGAATAAAAAAAATTATTGGCATAAAAACACAATCTTACATTTTCAATGGTTCTAATGATGATGTTTGATATTGCAGATACTTATTATTATTATTATCTTTTTCCTCAAATCATTCCACCAAAACAACTATTCAATGTTTTTATCTCTAAAATGAAAAAATACATATATACCAGGGATGACTAAGTCGACTTTCGACCAAAATCCAGTTTTGACGTGCCAAAGATGAGCGAGACATTTGGTCTGTTCCCGTACTAGAAATACTGCAAAACTTTATGAAGGAACAGTCGAAAACAATTTCGATTGAAGGCAAGCAATATTTTGGCGAGCGTGTCATTCAAAAGTAATAGTGCGTAAAACCGATTAATAAATGATTCTTGCAAGTTTAGGAACAGTGAAAATATATAAAGTGGTACAAATCTTTAAGCTGTGTACACACTATCATTTTTGACTGTCAACTTTTTTATCGATTACTGACTGTCCAACAACCATAAATATTTTTGTGGTTGCCTGATGAATGACAAACATGTGAGGCTACACTATCAAACAAGCAAAATTTGGGCAAGAGTGCCATTCAAAAATGATAGTGTGTACACCGCATTAAGTAGAGTATACACTATCATTTTTGACTGTCAAATCTTTTATCGATTACTGACTGTCCAACAACCATGAATATCTTTTTCGTTGCGTGATGAATGACGAACATGAGAGGCCACACTATCAAACAAGCACAATTTGGGCAAATGTATCATTCACAAGTGGTAGTTGTACACCCTACCAACACATATGCAATTTTTAACAACTGGTCTCTCCAGAACCTGCAAGAATGTATTATAACACATTTTCCTTTATAATATCAGACGCACGCAAAAAGTTAAAATAGCGAGTGTTAGTGTTATCGTTTCCTTGTGGTTGTTGTATTTTCGATAATACATAAAAGGTCGTTTACATTTAACCGGATTTGGTTAACCCAGTGTGTTTAAATTTTCAATTCCTTTGAATATATGCCAAATAAATCCTCATAAAGTAGGTTAACCCGGTAAAAAGTTCTAATGTAAATGCCGTATAACGCTACGGATGGCTGTTATGT